GAAATTGAGATACTCCGGAAGACTTGCAAGTGTCACTTGTCCAAAGGGACACTGCTCACACAACCGTAATTAAAGTGCTTTCGAAGTTTAGCAGTGCAATGGAGAGAAATAAAAATAAACACACTTCCCTCTGTAGGGGGTCAAGGGGAGTAGCCTAGAACACAGCAAGATGAATTGTTAGTGTAGGACTCACCTAAGAGGTTATGCCTTGAAGTGGCAGGTGAGCTTACACTCCAGTGGCCACTGGAGTGATACTAAAACATCTCCCATTATTTAAATGTGCATTGTGATAGTGTGCAAGTAACATTCCTTTGGTTTTTATTTTATCCCATAATTCTATACGCAGGACCACGGGGTTGAAACTCATTTGCATAGTATGCTCTGGCTGTGCCAGGACAAACATGCAAAAAATTAAAATTTAAACAGTTCAGAATTATTTAATAATAAAAAATAAAGCAAAAATAGCACAACTCCACTCTAATATACACCAAATATGTCCAAACAGATTATTTGTTAAATATTAAACAAAATCCTAGTAAAATGAAAACCCTCCCCCACACATTTAAAAAAAAACAAAAAAAAAAACTGTTATTCATTACAATTTTGAGAAGTGACTAAATAAATGAGTGGATTCGTTCACAATTAGGTTTACTGAGATGGGAAACGGCTTGCAAATGTTAAGCCAAAATAGCTCATTTAGAAAACTCTCCATTCCAAGTAACATTTTTTTTCTAACTTGGCCAAGCAGCTTTAATTTTGAAAGAGTAAAGTAAAGCAAGTTAACTGTTGAGTATGAAGTGAAAACTTTTTATAATTGATTAGGATCACACACATAGAACTATATAGTCACTTAAAATCTGGACTAATACATTCATTGGTAAAACAGGAAATTAGCTAAATAACCACGGACCATGTGTGCCTAGATCTCAGAATTAATAAACCGTACTAATTAAATCAATGCTATTACTGGCATCCTAGAGGTTTGTAAACTGCAGTCCAAATGAGAATGCATGAACGAATGTATGTATGGAGATAAAGGGGAGTGGTTGATTAAGATTGGACACATTTATATCCTATTGAAAAGGCACCCAGGGCAGTTAATGGAGCAAAGAACAGACAGAGATCAACAGAAATTAACTCATTAAGATATTATATATAAAATGTTCTATTAAAAGGAGGAATGGCCGGAGACGGAGCTAGCAGGACAATGGAGCGGTCGCACTTCTCTGAGCTCGGGCTGTAACTAGCTCAAATGTGGCTTTTTATGGTGAAATCCGAGCCTAAAAAACCCCACAAACCTCACTACCGTCGGCGGGTAGACCATGGGCCGCAAAACAAAAAAGCAAAAGCTGACAAACGCTTCCATGGTAGAGATATGAGAGACATGCTGCGAAATACGCAGCAGGCCACATGGCCCAAAATGGCGTTGGCAGACGACCTCTCCTCATACACCTCAGAGGAGCTTGCCTCGGACCTCTTGGAGGGAGCATTTTTTGGGCTCATTCTGGACCGTAGAATTGAACCACAGAAAGCCAGGGACCCGGTCACTGCAGACCAACTTAAAAAGATGCTGTCGGAGCTACGCAAAGACCTGGCGGCAGATTTAGCCTATTACAAAGAAGCCATTGAAGGGGCCGCATCAAAGATCACACAGCTGAAGGCCTGTTCAAGCACCCAAGATACCAGAATCACCAAGGTGGAACAGCAGGTAGGAGACCTAGCACAGCAGCAGATCGCCACCTCAGATAGGCTGGATGCTTTAGAAGATCAGAGAAGACGTTACAACCTTAAAGTCCCAGGGCATACCTGAGTCGGTTGAAATCGCTGACCTGCTCAACTACATAAGGAGTCTTGCTTCCACCAAAGCAGGTGAAATCCTTGAGGCTGGATGGTATGTTCCCGCTTCCAAAGCCAGGTAGGGCACCGGCGTCGCCAACTGCAGACCTCATACTTTGATTCTAAGCCCTCTCTGATGAAGCCTCACTCGTGGCTGCTCTGCGAGGGAAAACTCCCCTGCTCTTTGAGGGCTCCATGCCCACAGTATTCCCAGACCTCACCAAGAGCACCCTAAGCTGGTGAAAATCACTGCAAACTCTCCTGCAACACCTTCGCGCCAGAGAGATTCCCTACAGATGGGGGACACCACAAGCTATATTGCTTACACACAATGGGGCTTTCTACAGAGCACAGGGCTCTCAGGAGCTGGAATCAGACCTAAAATTCATGGGCATACTGCATGCCTCACCGACAATTGAAACAGGCCTGTCCTGGCTGAACCCGGCCACCATTCGGGAATTGACTCTGAGAGCAGTCCAGAGAACCTCACCTACCAGACCAACCACTTGAGAAACAGAGGCTGGCCTACTCAAGGGGACTTTCAATTCCACCATAATCACTCAACATGTCTCAACAAATCAGTGGGAGATTGTTTTTTTCTTTTTATTTTCTACACTCATTTGTTTTACTTTCCTTGCAAAGTTTATTAGACTAATATTCTGTTATTCCATATAGTCTTATATGCAAGCACAATGAGCTCACAACAAGAGGAGGCTTTAACACTAAGCGACTAATGCTAAACGCATCTAAATGCCGAGTTGCCAAACTTGATTATCTTACCCTGGCGATTAACACTCTTACTACATCCACACAGGGCTCACTGGCTGTTTCCTGACAATATCTCTCAAATTGTAATTAAATAATATAAAATGTGCTGGATGCCTACAATTGTCTCTGAATGTTGATAGATATGCTAGCAACAGCTGTTGTGGCACTGCTTGCCACATGTATCCTCCATGCACGACAAAATAAAGAATTAAATTAAAAAAAAAAAAAACATTTTAAAAGGAGAAATAGCTATTTGTAGGATTTTTTAATATTACCTTTACTTAACCCGTCTGGTAAAAAGGCAGATGTTTGTGAGGTCTGAAATAAAATATGTACAAATAAACATATCCCTATCTTGCAAATGGGTGTCTCCATCTTGGCTCCCTGTCAATCATTGTTATACGTTCTGTCGTTTGCGCCTGGCAGTCGGCACAGAGAAAGACATGCGAAGAAATAACATTCGTTTCTCATCTTCATCTGCATTATGTGCCCTGGCTGTGTCTGTACCGAACTGGATGGTGATGTCATTTGATGGAACTCTAATAAAGTTTAAAAGAAAATGGAGTCGCTCATGAAACTTAGATTCATACAAACTATCGATTTTCAAGTTCTAATGAATGGTGTAATCTCCAAAGAAATGACAGTTCTCCTTTAACTAGCTTGTTAATACAGAATACAATCACACAAATCCTATCGTAACAGTGTTGCATAACTAGAACCTTCATCTTCATTCTAACACAGCCCTCGTCTTCTAGTCCTCTGTGGACAACAATAAAGAGGGACATGTGGCAGGCACAGACATTAACCAGATGTTCTATTAAATAAATATAATTTCTGATGTAAACAATAGTTTCAGGTTAGGACTCGCCACAGGCTGGCTTTGGCACAGAGACGGACCTAGCATTTTTATGACCATAAACTGTGACTAAAATCTGAATTCATTGTATTTATGTAGCCCACCACCTCACTGCCGACCCTCTGCTGGATTATAATTAACCCAGTTTAGTAAATAGTGATTGGTGCATTCATTGCAATGTACATTCCAGGTAAACTTACAGGTATATAGGGGAAATGCTACAACTTACCTATTATTCAAACGTGACTACTTTTGCCTCAAATTTGCAAAGTATCTTTGAGTTTTTCAAAGGGGAATTAACCTTTCTGATTTCTGTGAACTTCTGAGAAATGGTACTTACACTTTCCACTTATTATATGGCATGTGGACATTACACAATAGGAGTTATATGTTTATAAGGCTGTTTATTATAATCTGAATTATTAATTAAAAGATCCTAGCCCTTTAAAACAGATTGCCAAGTAGAATCCAGAGGGCGTTTGGAATCTGGAATCTGGACTATATTCACAGAATGTATTAATCAACAAATGGGGCAAGACAACTTCGAAAGAATGTGAACGTGCCTCGGATTTTAGCCCTTCCAGATGATACCAAACGTCTGAAATCTAGAACCCAAATGATGGGGATCCACAACTGAACGGTAAAATAAACGATAAGACTGATTGTCAGCTGTCTGCCTACATATTCGGTCCAACAGGATTCAATCCAGCAGGACCAAATTTGCCGTTGTCAATTCTAAAGATTATCATTACAAAATGCTGTCACTGGGGGAAAAGCTGTGAATTTCTGTAGGTACGCCTGCAAAAAGCAGGTCAATTTATTTTGCAAATTTGCCTTCTACTGGATTTGTTGACAACGAGTCCTGTAATATATCTGATATAGGATCCACATGTGATAATTACAGATTGTAAAGCAGACCGCGAATGGTACCGAAGGACATGTGAGGGCCTTCAGAAAATATAAAAATGATGAATCCTTGGCAAACCCTTTTTTTTTTCTTTTTTTTAACGTACATTGCCAATATGCTGCATATTTGGATTGTAGAGAGTAAACCCCGAAAACGAATTTCAAGTTTTTCAGCTAAATAACCAAATTCAAAATATAGGTGGCTCGAAAACCAATTCCAATTTGGCTATTTGTGCCTAAAGTTTGAAATTCACACCTCTAAAAATAAAGGCAGTATCTCTATGAACGACCAGCGAAATAAGCTGCTGGTTCTTGAAAGTTCTGGAACACTCTTGGAGAGATCATGATTAACCTCTGAAGAACCAATGATAGCTCCTGCTGTCATCACCACCTGGTCTAGAGTAGACTATTCGTAGAAATAGAATATATTTATCAGTAGCTCTACTGGACACTACTTTCATACGACGACTAGGACATTGATACCGTGTATGGTTTCCATAACATATAAACTGCAATGATGACATAGACCATCACTGGTTCTTAACAGGTTAATATGATTCCATCTCAAGTGCGTACATGTTCTGGGATGTGCTGCCCTATCTGTGTAGCGCATGCTACCCTGTGTATATTGACAATTCCCTCCAACATGCCCAGTCCTGCTTTTAAGGGTCTGGCTGCAGTTTAATTTCTCCTCTAAACTAGAGGCGGAGGAATGTTTCAATTGAAATCACTCCAGATGTGCTTACTTGGCAGCATTCAGAAAGAAATTCACACAAAGAACAAGAGGAGCAGGGAACCTAAAAGCTCTCTGCAGGACCCAATATATGGGGAGCAACGAGAAACTCTTCTAGTCTACTGGACTGTAGCACTCTAACATGCCCAGTTGTTCTGCTACAGTATTGGGGATTCTGCAGAATCTACTGGCAGACGCAGAGAATAAGAAAGTTTTCAAATTGATTGCCACATCACACAAACACAACTGGCTGAAGTTTCACAAAGAGTCAGGGGTAACATGTGACTCCCTCCTGCTCCTCCTGTGGCCTGCAGATGGGTGGAGGGGGTCATTATTCCGCAGGCAAAAGATGTGTGTGAGATGGTGATCTACTAAGGTACGTACATATTTTCTATATGCAATTTATTATACTGCATTTATCTGGGGAACATGCCTTGCTAATCTGCTTATGTGGATCGTATTTCATTTTATATGTAATTTAAATACATAGTCCACAGATTTAGTTATGTTAAAAAGAAACAAAAGCATGAGAAAATGGATAAATGACGAGGCTAGATTTATTTTGCTGTGGGGATATCTTCATAAAATTGTCTAGACAGAATTTTGTAAAACGTGTGGTTTATTCACTAAACAACTGATTAAGAACCACATTACAGAATTTGATGGCAGTAATGAACTTTCCATCAGCCATTTTAGACAGAATTTTGCCATTCGGGTTTCTGTTCTGTACAGCTAGGACTTTAGTAAATATCTCTGCAAATTGATTAACATTTTACCACCTCTACTGGGAGTCTAGTTTGTGTATTTACTACTCCAACTGCAAAGCTGTATTTAGAGCCACCACATCCCAATAATTTGCTTTCTGTTTAAGCTTCTTTACCTCCACTGAGGTAAAAACTATTGCAGGTAGACACAACCTTTTCATGAAATATTATTAAAGCTATAACCATCTACAGAGTTATTCATTAGTTGTGAATTGCATAAACTTAAAATCTGAGATCCAAATTGACAAATTCAGGTCAAAATAGCTAATGTGTAACAAATCGGCTATAAACTCAACGTTACAATTCAGACTTTAGTAACCATTTGGTCAGCCTTTCATTCTTCCAATTCAAACCACACTTCCCATGTTCTTGTACAGAGGTAGGATTCCTTCTGCACTCCACATCACTACATGTCCCATAATGCTGCAAGGCATCATGCGAGACGTAGTCCACAACCTTTGGAGTGCTGAAGATTGCCTACCCCTGTCCTAATACGTTCTGTCATCTGCCAGTTGTAGATAACCCAATGTATAGGATGTTATCTGTCCTATCTGGTTTAGAAATGAATTTGCCAGCCACTGGCTAGTAGATAATTCTAGATATATCTGTCAGGGTTTAAGTGAAGTGGGAACGCATAGGGACACTATTTCACTTTTTTTCCCCACATATTTGGAGAGAGAATGTCATTCCTGTACTTCCAACTGTGCGAAACAAGCCTTTTAAATTATTTTTTTTTTTAAGCTGGCCAATAAAAAGTACTCACCAGTACAGAGATACACCACGTAGGATTCCTGGGGTTAAGATTTCCATATAAGTTGCTTGGTCTGTTTAATAAATACCATTCCACATCACTTTTTTTTTCTTTCAAATGGTAAATGTTCAACCTGATTGGAACGTTTTCTACACCAGTGTAACGGATTAGATAGGTCACTAGTAAAATTGGCAAATAAACAAAATGTGAATGCCTGCCTCTAATAAATTGAGGGCCAGTTCAGAGGGACGACCTCTCATGCTGCCAATGAATAGGTCTAAGAGGACGGCAGTAAGGAAGAGAAGGTGGTCAGACAGAGAGCAGCAGGCATTGATGTATAAAGGATCGGGCCGCATCTCAGCCATACATTGTAAAATTCAGCTAATACATTGACCTTCTTCTACATCCTTATCTCTGTCTGATTTCTATTCCCTTCTCAATCCATTAGAGCCGGTCACTCCTCCCTATCTCATGTCTCTTCTGCCCCATCTTTCATCCCAATCTCATCTGGTCTCATTACCTTCTTTGCTTCATTCATCCTTTCACTGCTCCATTTATCTGCTCTGTCTTATATCTTCCTCCCTGTGTCACTTCACCACAAATGTTCATTGCCGGATCTCCTCTCCTCTCCCCCTATTCTTCCTACTCCATCTTATCTTCCTTCTCTCTCTCTCCATCAAGCATAGCACCATCTAATCTGCCTTCAATTTCAATTTTCGTTCTCCCTTCATAGCCCTAACACAATAAGAATGAATAATATAACTCACAATTAGAATGAATAATATAAGAAGAAACATTTTTTAATTATTTAGTGTTAATTTAAAAATATTAAAGTTTAGAAAGCCTGCCCCTGATCCTCCTACAATGGGATCATCATGTTTGATCATCTCTGGTCCAACAATCCAAAGCACTGAGTCTATGGCGCATGCCTGGCCAATCCACTCCAATGCTTCTCCCCCCACTAGATAACATACTGCATAGTGCTCATTGAATGCAGAACTGTGTCTATATATAACGTTACAATTTACCTTTTCCATCACCTGGTTCTTTTCTCTAGCAGACAATTCATGTCGCTTTGTAGACAATGGCGTCTTTAATAGATTGTAAGAATGTTGTCCAGCAGGGTGGTTATATAGCAGGGATCACCTAGTGTGCGGAAAACATGGATATAGGTGTATATAATAAAGCATTTATTGCTAGAGAGAGAGAATAGCAATAGTGATTAAACGGACAGTGAATGCACTGCACGGTCCCAATAGTGAACAATAAGTGAGAGCGAACAGAGGTGTGTATTCTCAATAGTGAAACACGTGTGCATGCCCAAACATACAGAGAGGGTGATATTTGTTGACTGAACCTTCTATTCATTTTACACCTTTAGCTAAACCTCCCCCCAAATACATTCAATAAATCATATATAAAGATACATGATATATTCAATGTAAAATATTGTGATATACTAAACTTACCTCCGTTACAGTGCCACCATATTCAGAGCTTCAGGAGGGTTTTCTTTCGTTAAACACCCACCCTCCTGTCCACTGGTTTCTTCACAGAAAGCAGTTTTCTTAACTTTGATTCTACAAGGAGGGGATAAATTCTCTGTGATGCCAGCATGCCAGTATTTCAATGTAGTGACAGTAGTTGCTCCGTTCCTATACTCCTTTGCCATCGCTATTGGCGTTAGATAGGGAGCTACCATATTAACCACAGCATATGCACTGCAGTTGCTATGGATGGAAAGAGAGAGGAGGTCTTTTCTGCTCACCCTTTTCAGTCAAACCATCGGCATACAGTCTATGCCAGGGGTAGGCAATATTTGGCTGTTGACTGTTCTACCATAGTGCTCTTGCAGTCATAATGCCTGCAAAGCATTAGAGGAAATGTAAACATCTGGAGTGCCGAACGTTGCCTATTTCTGGTGTATGCCAAAGGGTTGATGGACAAGGGTTGATATATTTCGAACAGGTTTGTCTCTCAATCTTTACATTCACTAGATAGAATTTTATGATCTTTAAAAATAACATAAGTTGTAGTTGTAGGGATTACAGGGCTCGAGTCCTGCAGAAAAGTGGGGGAATGGCGTTCCTGCACCTTTTTTTTCAGCAGGAACACTGTTCCTGCAGACACTCAGGGGTCGGCAAAAAATGCCGCCCTCAAATGCCCCCCCATGTTACCCCTGTCTCCATATCAGCCCCCGGCGGGCACCTGTCTCCATATCAGAAGCGGCGAGGGAGCTGCGTTTGCTCTGCTCCCTCTCGCCGCATGCCGTTTGCTGATGCTGGATATATGAATATGACATCATATTCCGGTTCCCGGCGTCAGTAGACAGCCCGCGTGGTGAAAGGGAGCAGAGCAAACACAGCTCCCTCGCCGCGATAGGTAGACAGTCGCCCGCCCCACTGGACCCCAGGGACAGTTCCACGCCAGCTTTCCAGGAAGGGAGGCTGGGTGGACATTTTTTAATTTAAAAAAAAATATTTGTGAGTGTCTGTGAATGTGTGTATCTGTGAGTGTGTAAGTGTGTGTATCTGTGAGTGTGTGTGTGTGCAGGCGTATATATATTATTTTGGGGGGATCTTGGCTGAGTTCCCACACTTTATTCCCCAGGACTTGACTTGAGGGGTAATAAAAGGTACCTTTTAAACAGCAAACTGCAAGGAATTGCAAATAAAATTGCAAAGTGTAGGTAATAATATCAGAAACAAATCAAAAAAATTGGCTAGATTTTTGTACATTTAGAAAATGTCAATTTGCTACAATTGAAAAACTGAATGACCATTTCTGGTCATATACAGTGTTTTTTCTCTTCCAAATTCTGAGTCACATTCGAGCCCTTACTAAATAACACTGCATGCTATTATTTAAGGAACTCTCGAGAAGTCTGCTAGGCAATATCTTTGTATATTTATCCTGTGATCAACCTATATCCCATAAGATTATACACTGATCTCACTCTTGTTATTGTACTGAATATGACTCAGATTAAACTTCCAAAATTGGGATATTTATTTTTGGATTTTATCTGCCAGATTTCAATGATCCGATCAGGTAAAATAAACTGCAGATTAAATGGCACCAAAAACATAGATTTTTTAATCATTGTTTTGGCTTTAGACGTCTGTTAATCACATTTAAAACGGCTGGCTAGTTGAGGTTCTGGGAACGTTACAATTTCCAGGTTGTGGGACTGATTTTGATATACCTCTTATAGTCTGTGACTGAGGATAAAATATGCAATAAAACTGCTTCGGAAAGGCAGGCATCACAAATCTTGGGGTCCCTTACAATTCGAGAGGCCAGGCACACCCCCACCCAATAAATACTCCCAGACACACAGCCACATCCACTGTGTTGGAAAGACAGGCACACACACACTAAATGCTCACTGCCTGACACAGACACACACACCCAGGGTTATTTTTTAAAGTGAAAACTTAAAGTGGATTTCAAATTTAAGGCCAAAGTAGCCAAATTGAAAGCATAGCTGACTTTTAGAAGTTTTCCAGTTCAGCTATTTGACACTGGATTTGAAATTCTGTTTGAATTCCCACTATAGTAAATTACCCTGACAAATCATCACTGCCAGAGGCGTACACATGGACACAGATACACCAGACACACACATATATGGAAATATGTTAATTCCAACCACCTTCATATTGGCATATCCTTTACCCATGAGGGTGGCTACCCCGGTTCTCTGATGGATATCTGGTTGTGCTCCACCCCTTCGTGGTACCAGGAGGAGGAAACTTTAAACAACATTATTATTATTATTATTATTATTATATTTATAGAGCACCGTCAAATTCCACAGCGCTTTACAATGGGTGGACGAACAGACATGTAGTTGTAACCAGACAAGTTGCACACACAGGAACAGAGGGGTTGATGGCCCTGCTCAATGAGCTTACATGCTAGAGGGAGTGGGGTAAAATGACACAAAAAGTTAAGGATAGTATTAGACTAGTGACAGTTGCAGAAGAGGAATCAGTCAGGAGCTATTAACCGTTTAATTGATACGCTTTTATGAAGAAGTGGGTTTTTAACGATTTTTTTGAAGGAGTGGAGACTGGGTGAGCATCTAACGGAGGAGGGAAGCGAGTTCCACAGGAACGGTGCAGCCCTCGAGAAATCTTGAAGGCGAGCATCAGAGGTGGGAGTACGGACAGAAGATAGACGTAAGTCTTCAGCAGATCGTAAGGGCCTAGACGGGACATACTTGTGTATAAGGGAGGATAGATAGGTGGGAGCAGCATTATGTAGAGATTTGAAAGCAAGAACCAGAATTTTAAATTGAGCTCTATATTTTATAGGAAGCCAACGTAGGGACTGACAGAAGGGTGAGGCATGGGAGGTGCGGGCGGACAGGAAGATGAGCCTCGCCGCCGCATTCATTATGGACTGTAACGGCGCTAGTTGGGAGCACATAAGACCACTGAGAAGCGGATTACAGTAGTCAAGGCGAGAAAGGACAGTGGAATGGACCAACACCTTAGTCGCATCTGGCGTTAAGTAGGGGCGGATGCGCACAATGTTTTTGAGATGGAAATGACAGGATTTGGCGATAGATTGAACATGAGGCTTGAAGGAGAGGTCAGAGTCAAAGAGAACACCTAGGCAGCAAGCCTGCGTGGTGGAGCTGATGGTAGCACCGTTGACTTGGAGGGAGACAGACACAGGAGTAACAACACTTGAGGGAGGAAAGACCAGAATTTCAGTTTTGGTCAAGTTTAGTTTAAGGAAGTGGGCAGCCATCCAGTTAGAAACAGCAGAGAGGCAGTCAGAGACACTAGTCAAGAGGGATGGGGAGAGATCAGGAGAGGACAGGTAGATTTGCGTGTCATCTGCATAGAAATGATATTGGAAGCCAAAGGAGCTAATGAGTTTACCAAGGGAGACAGTATAGATGGAGAACAGTAGGGGACCAAGGACTGAACCTTGGGGGACACCAACAGAGAGGAGTTGGGGAGAAGAAGCAGAGCCAGAGAAAGGAACACTGAAAGAGCGCTGGGAGAGGTAGGAGGAGCACCAGGAGAGAGCAATATCTTGTAGACCGAAATTGCGGAGGATGAGAAGAAGCTGTTGATGATCAACAGTGTCAAAAGCCGCAGAAAGGTCAAGGAGAATTAGGATAGAGTAGTGACCACGAGATTTTGCAGCGAGTAGATCATTGGATACTTTGGTCAGTGCCGTTTCCACATTATGCTTAGCGCAGAAACCAGACTGAAGCGGGTCTAGCAGAGAGTTGGACTCGAGGAAGTCTGTCAATCTCGCATACACAATTTTTTCAAGGATCTTGGATGCAAAAGGCAGTAGCGAGATAGGACGATAGTTGGATGGGGAGTTAGGGTCAAGATTGGGCTTCTTTAGAATTGGGGTTACAGTTGCATGTTTGAAGGGCAATGGAAATATACCAGAGGAGAGAGAAAGATTGAGAATTTTAGTGAAAGGTGGAGAAAGAGAAGAAGACAGAGTACGGATGAGATGCAAGGGAATTGGATCTAGGGAGCAGGTGGTGGGACTGGAGGACTGCAACAGTAATGGATGGGGGGCGTTATCCAGCCTATTAAGGGTCTGGACCATTCCGCAACGTCGCACTATTAGAATAGTTATTTGTATGTCACCAACTGGTCCACATAGTATTACAAGGCTCCACCTGGGCCTAGTGTTTGACCAGACCCCTTACTAGAGTACCGGCTCTGAGGTGGCAGAAAGCACTTTATTTAGCCAGCATCTGATTAAAGTGCTTTCCTATGGGGGAAGATCTAATGAGTGCACTGTGCTTACCACACATGCACATAAGGTTCCCCCTTACGATGATGCAGAGGAGGCAGAGACAGAGCCAGTGTTGAGGGACTTCGGGGCTGTAATTGGTATTTAAGGGTATTTTAATCCTTTGCTAGCAGTGTGGAGAGGGGGGAAGAGGATTACTATAGTGTTAGGAATACAGCTTTACTTTTCCTAACACTGGTGTTCCTTTAAGCTACAGTCTAAACGCAGGCTTCCCTAAACTCCGGCCCTCCAGATGTTGCTGAACTACAACTCCCATGATTCTCAGCCTATATTTCATTCATAGAATCATGGGAGTTGTAGTTCAGCAACATCTGGAGGGCTGGAGTTTGGGGAAGCCTGGTCTAAAGCATGGCTGGTCACAGGTAGATTTACAGATGTTGTAGAACTCCAGCTGCCATGGTGCTTTGCTTGCCTTCAGAATAGCAAAGCATCATGGAAATTGTAGTTCTCTAACATCTGGAGATCTACTGCTTGCTTACTCTAATAAGCAGTGACGTTTATTACAAGATGTTCCCCTGAGAGACATTGACAGATTTTATAACAGAGTACACACTCATACTCTATAGAAGAGAGTGTTTGATGATCCTGATGCAAATAATGTATACAAATAATATATGAGCCATTTTAAAGCGATTTGTTTCTATTTGTTGGCAATAATGTATTTGAAGTTGAACATGCGTTAAAGAGATCCATAATGCACACAGCTTGTGAAAGAAAACCTGGAAAAATAACCTGAATATAATGCCAAATAAAAAAAAAAAACTGGACTGGAACTGCGCTCTATGTGATCTGAGAGATATTAAGATCAGAAATAGAAAAGAAAAAAAAAAGCTTAAGGAAACATGATATGGCACCAATTACAATTAACTAGTTGTGTATTTTACTAATAATTATTTGAAACAGGTTTCAATAAATCCAATTGAAAAATAATATAAATTAGTAACACTTTTATAGGCATCTTTAAAGGGACACTAACTTTAGGAATAAAAGCATGCATTTCTAACACTGGAGTCTTTTCTATTTAGATTCAGGGTCACCTCTTAATAAATCACTGTTACTCACCTAATATCCATCACTGAGTCAGTCTCCTCCCCTGGAGATCATCACTATAGGTGGTCTCAGCCAATCCAATACTACTGCAGGAAAGCATTTGTGGGCTGCTGCATATGGGAGCGATAACAGTGCTTCGGCATTCAACATCTCCTTAAAGAGATTGATTGGCTCAATTCCTCTCTACGAACAATGTGAAGACATCGAATGCCAGTAATCCAAAGATTTTATGGATGTCCCCAGAAACCCATCCAGTGGAACATGCAAACCGAAACAAAAATCTCGGGAGGGGCACTTGTAGATTATTTAAATAAATAATCCAGGCACAATAACCACTACAGCTCAGTGTAGTAGTTATGGTGTCAGTAGTGCCAGGATTCCACCCCAGAGTAAGTAGTCATACCGCTTAAGAACAGTTTGACAACTTACCTGGGGTCTGCTGGGATATAGGGTATAGGAGCAGTGGTGTGTGTTAAGGGTGAAGTGTGTGAGTGCGGCAGTGTATGTCAGGGACAGTGTTTGTGGGGCAGTGTGTGTATGGGGACAGTGTTTGTGGGGCAGTGTGTGTCAGTGTGTGTATTGGGACAGTGTTTGTGGGGCAGTGTGTGTATGGGGACAGTGTTTGTGGGGCAGTGTGTGTGTGGGGGCAGTGTGTATTGGGACAGTGTGTGTATGGGGATAGTGTTTGTGGGGCAGTGTGTGTATGGGGGGGCAGTGTGTATATGGGGACAATGTTTGTGGGGAAGTGTGTGTATGGGGGCAGTGTGTGTGTATGGGGACAGTGTTTGTGGGGCAGTGTTTGTGGGGCAGTGTGTGTATGGGGGGCAATGTACGTATGGGGACAGTGTTTGTGGGGCAGTGTGTGTATGGGGGGTCAGTGTGTGTATGGGGACGCAGTGTGTATGTGGACAGTGTGTAATGGGGGTGCAGTGTGTGAATGGGGTGCAGTGTGTACGGGGGCAGTGTACTGGGGCAGTGTGTAATTGGGGGGCAGTGTGTGTAATTGGGGGCAGTGTGTAATTGGGGGGGCAGTGTAATGGGGAGGAGGCTTTTAAATAATAATTTTTTTTAAATTTTATTTAATAAAATAAATATCCTATGTCCCCCCTCCCTTCTTACCTTGACTGGGGAGGAGGGGGGACATATTTCGATCCCTGGTGGTCCCAGTGGTGATTCATTGGTGGTCCCAGTGGGGAGAGTGAACTCTAGCCCGCGCTCCCGGGCTAGAGTTCACTCTCGCAAAATTTAGAGCGCTGCCGTGGTAACCGCGGCAACACTCCAAATCTCACGAGAGGAGGACCCGGAGGAGCTGCAGACTGAGCTCCGGGTCCTCTCTCTCACTCCCTCCCTCCGCTGCCGGCTGCCAGCACGGTGCCTGCGGACCGGGGAGGGAGATCTCTCTCTGATCTTCCTCCCCGGTCCGCAGGCACATTGCAGGGCTGGCATTTGGGCAATGCCAGCCTAGTCGGCAGGGGATCAAAGTTCCCGCTGCCCCCGGATCCGCCAATAGTCTGGCTCTGTTCTCTGTGTTTCTGATCCCTCATTCAAAGAGCCCAGCACAGTGCAAAGGAGCTGGAAGAGAGACCTCTCTATGAAGACGTGCAAAGAGCAGAACTTCTAAACATGATTGATAGGTAGATAAGGTAGAGGCACTCCATTCCAGGATTGTGTTAAATCCCGCAGTGTGGATTTCTACATTTCATTTTATTTTTCAGACCTCACAAATTGCTAAATATAGGGAACATGTAAACATAGTATTACAAATCGTGAGATATGACAGTTCACTTTAAATTCCATAAATCTCAAAAGATGGATCCATCTTAAATATCAGTGAATTGTTTAACTTGTCAGATTGCGTAATTGTACAAGTTATACTATGCCAACAGTGGGTGCATTTAAAAGTTCAAGGGACACTATAGTCACCAAAACACAAAACAAATTTTTGCTTAATTAAGCAGTTTTGGTATGTAGATAATGCCCATGCAGCCTCATAATACCCATGCAGCCCCAAATTCTCTTCCATTTAGGAGTTAAATCACTGTGTTAATACAGGCCTAGTCACACCTCCCTGAATGTGACTTACAGTGCCTTCCTAAACACTTCCTGTAATGAGTCATCTAATGTTTATACCTTTATTGCAAATTATGTTTAATTTAGATTTTCTCATCTCTTGCACTGTTAGTAGCTTGCTAGACACTACAGGAGCCTCCTGTATGTAATTAAATGTAAATTTACAGAGAAGGATATAAAAACTTTTAAGGTAAGTTACATGTCCCATTGTACAGTGCTACAGAATTTGCTGGCACTATATAAATAATAAAATAATAATGATTTGATTGAAAGTGAAACCAGTTTTTTTTTTCCCATGCAGTTTGTATCAGTTACAGCCAGGAGAGGTGTGGCTAGGGCTGTATAAACAGAAACAAAGTGATTTAACTCCCAAATGGCAGAGAATTGAACAGTGAAACTTCAGATGCATGATCTATACACTAAAACTGCTTCATTAAGCTAAAGTTGTTTTGATGACTATAATGTTCCTTTAATGATGGTCAATTTATCCTTTAATTCTTGTTACGTCTAACCAGAGCCGACGCTGGCGCTAGGCAAACTAGGCAGCCACTTTAGGTGCACTGATCCGGGGGAAGGAACCTCCAGGTAACTGTCAGGAGAGGAGTGCATTGCACAGCACTCTTCTCCTGTCAGTCAGTGCATGTAGTATGGCCAAGCGGGTCACTGTTTAAACTACTCCACAGACATCAATTTCATACATTCCGGAACAATAAGAATAGTTATTTGAAGTCACTAATAAAAATCAAACAGTTTTCCTCAGCTTACATGCTCAAAGAGCTTTTCATTATGTACCTTGTCTTCATCTTTTTAGAATTCTAAAGTATCGCTTTTTTAACCTCATGAGGGCTTTATACTCTACATAAATTAACACTAACGATCTAGACTCAAAAGACCTCATAATTCTGGGGGTTGGGGAAAACAGAGCTGCCCGTTATTAACTATCCTTATTCATTTAACTTCCACTTATTAAATATATTCTCTTCTGAGGACAAAAAAATGAATTCAATTAGGCTCCTACACAAACGTACGGGTGTTGCAGATCTTTTACTTTATCTCTCTAACCCTGTCACATCCCTTTCTAACACAATGGTTCCAACCACTCTATCATAGACAACCTCGAACTTAAAATATCTAAGGGTACTTATCTCCACACGCAATGTCCACTATACATGTAATTAATATGATGGCACTTCTGTCTGAGGTGAGGGATCTTCTCTCAAGATGGAGAGTTTTCCCACTGTCTCTTTCGTGTAGAGCCACCGTCTTAAAATCAGCCATGGTTCCAAAACTCCTTTACAGGCCTTACCCATATTACTCCCACAATCAGAGGAGAACATTCTTAACCAACTCTTTTCCAGATTTCTTTGGCAACGTACACGTCCAAAAATCGCAATGCATAAATTATCTCAACCCAGATTTAATCTGGGTTTAAATATTCCAAATCTAAAACTTTACAGTCTAGCAGCACAATATCATCACACTATAGACTGGACAAAAGGATAGGAACAATTTACAGCAGTACTCAAAGAAACAAAACTTTGCCCAACCATCCATGATGGGGAAGCTCAATATCCATACTGTTCTTGGACAGCCACAGGTCAAACCAATATACATGATATCCGGAATAAACACATTAAATCAGTTATGTTTCAGCAAATGAAACACAAATTTCCTGACCTCTGTGTTCACTTTTTTTGCAAACCTACAGACACACAGTTTGATAGGAACTTCAAAGATCTTCTTCATCTCAGTTCGAAAGACTGGGATCATTTTATAGATTGCCCACGCTTTCATCTTACTCAATTGGCTTACTTTATTCCCAAATTAGACCTAGCTTGAACCACACAGCCACACAATCAGGCTTGTCACTGTTGATACTCGCCAACATTTAGTCATGGGGTGCTCATAGAAGCAAAAGTTAAGCTGCTTAAACTATTCCCATCATCTTCCAATCAGGAAATGTATTAAAACACTGCACATCATGCGTATTATTATTTCCTTTAAAAACGTTTTTTTCGCTAAAATGAAGGGTCTCGGCTAGCTGCTTGTGGTACAGATGGAGCAGATCTGTATCACTACATTTGGGGATGTGTGGGGATTGAAACATTCTGGAGACAAGTCAAAATATTAGGCATGTGGAAAATATTTGGCTCGGTTCGGTATTCCGAAATTCATGACTTCGTCAGTTTGGCACTCGAACACTTCGGCACTTCTTATCTTAGACACTTCGGAACTTCGGCAACTTCGGATCTTAGACACTTCGGAAACTTGGGAACTTCGTCAACTTCGGCACTTCGGATCTTAGACATTTCCGGAACTTCGGCAACTTCGGAACTCCGGCATTTCGGGACTTTTCTTGCAGCCGCTTTGTAGATAACTCCCTAATTCCAACGGTATTGGTTATCTACCAAAAGGCTGAAAGACCTAAAATTGGTCTTTCAGCCAAATTTACTAATACTAAGTAAAAATTACTTAGTATTAGTAAGTTGTGCCCCTACTCGCTATACCGCGAGTAGGGGCATGTCTAGTAAACAGTGAGCAGCGGGTGGGGGCCCTAAAGTAAAAAAAGGGGGGAGAGCCCCCACTCACCACTCAGGGGTGGGGGCCCTAAACAAGAAGAAGGGGGGAACCTAATGTCCTCCCCCCTGACCCCACCCTTGAGCAGTGGGTGGGGGCTCTAAATAAAAATTTAACCCCCCTCCCCCAGGTGACTAGGGGTCCCCAAACCCCTAGTCACCCCCTGCCCAAAAAAATAAACCCATACCTACCCCCCTCACCCTTAAAATAATGAGAGGGGACCTTTAACTAAGTACCTGTAAAAATAAACATAAACTTACCATTTGATGTTTTCTTTCTTCTAAAATCATCTTTTTTCAGCCCCAAAAAAGGCCAAATAAAAATCCATAATAACCGACGCAATTAAAAAAAAAAAACGAGCGCAAAAAAAAATTAATCCATGTTCACCTGGCGAGGGCTCCGCACAGACTGAGCTCTGCAGGGCGGGGGAAGGCTTATAAAGCCTTGCCCCACCCTGCAATTAGGCTCAGAGCACACTGATTGGTGGGTTTAAGCCATCCAATCAGAGTGCTCTGACAGGTAAATGAAGGGACTGACAGGTAAGTCTCTACATTTACCTGTCACAGCACTTTGATTGGTTGGTTTGAAATCCACCAGAGTGCTCTGTGTCATTTTACACAGCGTGCTTTTTATTAGATAGCTCCCTAATACCGTGGGAATTAGGGAGTTATCTACTTATTTATTCCTGTCATTACATGACTGGCTAAGTAACATACATTTTATATGAATGTATGTTACTTGATTGTTGTAAGTGTTGCAAATTCTTACAGCTGAATCCGGTCTATGTTTGTATACTTTTTATTTGAAATTGTATACAGTGTAACATTCTTCTTCTTTCACTGGGTAAGTATATTAGTACTTAGGCAATACTGTGCTTCGGAACTTCGGCACTACTACACTTTGGAAATTCTGTAATTTCGTCACTTCAACTATTCGGACATTCGGAAGCACCCGAATGTCCGAATTACCCGAAATTCGGCCGAATTTTAATTCAGACCGAAACAAATTGCACATGTCTACAAAATATACATAACGAGACTAACGGGTAAATCATTTCATATTTCTCCATTACTAGCAACATTAGGGGTGTGGGGGGGAGGGGTAACAGCTCAACAATAAAGTCCGGTTTCTAAATTGGACCATATGAGCCTGGCTGCAGCTGGTAAAAGTATATTACATCACTTGATCAGTTCCTCATTTCTCCTACACTACCCTTGCTTCAAATGAAAATTCCCTCCTATTCCATATGGATTGGATAAAAGCCCCATTAAAGGGACACTATAGGCACCCAGACCACTAACCTCAGTTATTGTATTTATTTTAATTTTAATATTATTGCATTTATCTTATTATGACATGCAACGGCTGTATTATTGATCAACTTGAATTGTTTAAAGACATAAATGCCTTTATTAAGAAATTAACTTTATTACAAAAAAAAAAAAAAAAAGATTGTGGAGTTGATCAATTGTTAGATAATCCATTAGATAAACAATTGATTAGTAGTTTGCTTTCCTTGTTGAAATAATGATGTGAATATTAATTTAGGAGAACCTATAGATTCAGAGTATATTATTAGAGCAAATACATAGTCCAATTTTAGAGCCATGTTCCAATCATAGGTGTGCGCAGCCTATTGCATTAGGGTGTGCACCCTAAAGCACAAGCACACGCCACATATATATTATATATATATATATATATATATATATATACACACACTGCTGTGTGTGTGTGTGCTGTGTGACGGTGCTGGTAGTGTGCTATGTGGGTGAGGGTGTTTGTGTGTGCGCGCTTGTGAGGGTGCTGTTAATGTACTGTGTGTGAGGGTGCTATTTGTGTGTGTGTGTGTGCGCGCGTTCGTGAGGGTGCTGTTAATGTACTGTGTGTGAGGGTGCTGTTTGTGTGTGAGGGTACTGGTAGTGTGCTGTGTGTGTTTGTTAGGGTCCTGTTTGTGTTTGTGAGGGTACTGTTAGTGTACTGTGTGTGTGTGAGGGTACTGTTAGTGTGCTGTGTGTGTGTGAGGGTGCTGTTTGTGTGCGCTGTGTGTGAGGGTGCTGTGTGTGAGGGTGCTGTGTGTGGGTGCTGTGTGTGAGGGTGCTGTGTATGTCTGTAGGTGCTGTATGTGTGTAGGTGCTGTGTATGTCTGTGGGTGCTGTGTATGTGTGCTAGAGTTCACTCTCGCGAGATTTGAGCGTTGCTGTGGCAACGCTCATATCTCACGAAAGGAACCCGGCAATAGCTCCGCAGGGTCCTCTCCTGCCTCCCTCCCTGCCTGTGGGTCGGTAGGGAGGGAGGCTGAGAGCAGAGCCGGCGCTCGGATAGCGCCGGCTCTGTCTGAGCCGATAGGGGAGATCCTGAGATCTCCCCTGCCGGTCTCGATATACATAGGCACACCCGGCACACGCCTATGGTTCCAATATTATCCAGTGAAAGATATGGGTTCATTATCCAGTTTTCATGAGGGTTCATGAGACCGTCATGCGTGAACTCAGTGGAGTGAGTGAAGAGTCCACGGATCTCAAATATAGTAATCTGACAGAGGGGGAAATCTGGGCTTTAAAGGAACTAAGGTCCATTCCGATTATTATTATTAAACAGGCAGATAAGGAAGAGGACCTGGTAGTCCCGGATAATTCATGAATATGCATGAAGCTTATAGATTATTGGAGATAATTATTTTTATGATCCCAAAAACAATTCCGTGTAGACTGAGTTTAACTATTGTGTAATCTCACAGAAAGAAAGTTGTTATTGCCCCTGGCATGTTTCTGGTCTTCTATCGTCTGCCTATAATACAGCTCAGAGAACCCTTCAAAGAGACCAATTATTTCAGCAATTGATCCTATTACTGCCCATTTATCTAAATTTATAAGTAATTGTGGGGTCAGCAGGTTAACATAGAGGTGTCTGCTCCATTTCTCCTGAAGTTTTAGTGGGATTTGTACAGATTTTAAACGTGAACAAAGTCACCTCCGGTCACTTTATAAGAATGTCATGAAGTTAAAATCTATAAAATACTCATGTTGACAGAGTTGAAATTCCAATGCTATCGAAAGATATTGTAAGACAAAGTAAGTAAAATGTTCTCTTATGAACTTTTGTCAATACTCACAGCTACTTGGTGTTCCACACCATACCTCCCAACATTTCAAATGGGTGAAGAGGGACACCAATTTTAGGGGTGTGAATGGAGGTGTGGCTAGGGGCAACTAAAATCGTAATTTAGAACCAGAACACAGACTTACATAGACTGATTTCTAAACAAGAAAGTTTATAGACCCATTACTGTGAGTATTATTGCTGTGGAGCTCTGTTATTGGCTGAGACACACCAGCAATATGGAGCTCCTAGAAAAGAGGGGCATTAGAATAAAAAAAAGAGAGAAAGGGATTTCAACCAGAAAACAGACTGTCCCTCATTAAAGGGGATACTTTGTACGTAGACTTTGGTGGAGACTACAGCAGTGACACATAGTACCTGAAGAGCTGGGGCGGAATAAAAATCACAAAGACACCCACAAAAGGCAGCTTCAGGTAAGTATAGCTACCTTTTCAACCTCTTAGCCACTGCACACAAAGGAGGTGGACAACTTTCATACTGTTTGCAAAATATGCAGAGACCTCCCTCCCCCGTAAGTGACAGAGCCACCAAATGAATAATTTCATTTAAACACGGACAAAATGCTAAACACAATTTGTAAAAGCAAACACTATTTAAACTTCTGCCTCGATATGTGTTTTTTTAAATGCAGTTTTATTAGTGCCAGCTATAGCCAGTTATATTCGAATTCTTTTTTCATACATTGCAGTTATTTTTCTTCAAAATACTTTTCTACTAATTCTGCCAAGTCGTGTTTATTTTTTATTTCATTTGGTTTGTTTTTCTTAGTTAACTGTTTTCCATTTTCAGTTCTGGTATTAATAAAAAATTAAAAATGCATTTTCGGTTGCTGTCTCCTAATGTGATTGGGGGAATTATAGCTTTGCTGAAACAATAAGTTACATTTAATTGGATAATATATCAATTTACCTCAGCTGAATTGTTTCCACGATATATCCAAACGTATTCATTTGTAACAGATGTGCGGATATCCATTAATTTCCCCATTATAAGAGATAGTTAAGGCCCAGACACATAGGCCTGCTTAGGACACATAGGACAGCTGGTGGGAAGGACAATGATCTCTGTCACTATGTACCTTGATGATGGCCGTTTTATTCTGACAGCTACCATTTTAAAAAGACTCCCTGAGCCCCAGGTCTCTTCACTTAAGGCAAGACTGGGCTTTTGCTAGATGTCTTGTGACATATTGTTTATAAATAGGGGTTCGGAACTTTCCTGGATTATACAAACATTCTTAAAATTTCATTATACGAACCTCTCACCATGTGGTGAAGCCCAAGGTTTTCCTAGTTATAGTGAGGGTACAGAATACCAACACTCCATTCCACAACACAGAACTGAGATGTTTGCATAGTACTTTTGGAGGGTCTTTGAGAACCCAGTACATTTTTTGCCTCTGCGAAGTGGGTGGGAGAGAAGGAGAATACCAAGACTGCTGCTCTCTCCTTGCTGTTGTAACAGATCAATTAGACTCCATTTGATCTCTTAAATAAAGAATTATGTATCTTACTCAACACATTCCACAAATACTGTTAAATGGCTCCATATTTAGGGTGACAAGACCTCACCTATGACTCTAGATAAATTTGAGCAATATATTTACTGAAAGGCTGCATTAGCAATTTTGCTACTCCCTTAATGAGGAGATTCGGTCAACCTTTGCTGAATGCTTTCATTTTGAATATTGGATATAGAGAGGGGTCTGTAGGAATCCCCTATCAGTCTGTTAACAGTTATTTATGACAGTCATACAGTAGATCTTAGAGTATAAAATGTAAACTGAATGCAAAAAGTAAAACCAGCAAAAAAAAATAAAAATAATATTTATAAGTACATACATATATATTCAACTCTTAAAATCATTGGAGTATGACCTTCGATTAGAACATTAAAGAAATTGGCTTTATATATAACCAATGCTGGCTTTCTTGAATTATCATGATAATTTAGGATTACAATTTTACAATAGTAATCAATTCAGCTCAAAAGATGTATCGAAAAAGTCCATCATGGTTATTTTCTTGAATTACATCTGGGTGGAAAAACCGAGACAAAAACTGAATTATCTAGAAAAATTCCCCAACTCAACCATAGGCCAACTTGTCAATTTTTGCCTATATTTTGTGATTGTAATTTAATTTGTGAACATTTCTGAGATTAATGAAACCCTGCTGATTCTACAAAAGCCAAGGTTTAATCATTGGAACAGATAATTAATAACAATTGACCCCCTGGAGACAATATAAACAGGCATTGAGGCATAATGCAGTAAGACCAATACTAAACGTGTTCCTATAAATCGATTTGTATGGCAATGCTACGTAGGTTGCATATTTATCCCCATATTTTATTAAATTCCTTGTTTTCCAATCTTCCATTCTGTGTACCATATTCTGTTCTTCTACGAAAATGTATCACTCCTCATATACCAAATATCCATTTTCCCCATATTATATTTGTCATCAACATGTATCAATTAGCATGCCATATGCTGATATAGTTATATAGGTGTGATGAATGTTGCATTTGTGTCATAGTATGAGAGTATGTTTTAAGTGTTTAATTTGTGGCATTTGGGACTGTATGTCATGGGAGTTGAATGCAAGGGGTTTGTGAAATTATCTACAAACATTCAATAGAGCTATACGAGTGATGGGAGTAGTATGGGAGTACAGTTGTATTGAGATTTAAAGATTATCAGCCACAGTTCTCCCATCTAATCGATGACCAATTGAGGGTCACATGAGTTATGTGAATTTATCTGACAACCCCAATAATTTGATGTCATAACTCTATACATTGTAACGCACACAGTAAACAGGACTTCGGGGGCTGCGAGAAATGTGTGTACACATTTGATTTCTCAAAATATACCTCAAGACTCTGCAATTCTGGGCTAGTAGAGCTAGACATCATTTTCTGGCTTCCAGAAATGCACTGAAGAGAGGGGAAAAAAATAGGAATGAATTCATGGCTAGGTACCAAAACAAACATAAGTGAGATAACACATGGTGGTATATAAAGGAAATAGATTTCCCCAGTGCTGAAGTTCCCTTGAGACATCTTTCCGTCAGTAACACAGAAAACCCAAATTACAAGCAAATAAAGGACACATAAAAACAAAGGAAAGGCATAGCAGCTTAACACTTCTTTAACAGGCACATACACCCATTGTATAAATAATATAAATTCTACTCACAAAGGCCTACATTACAATTCAGCTTCAGTAACCAAAAAGTAACCTTGTTTTCCCGCCGCTAACGCCATCAGAAAGTCACAATATATTAGTCACATAACTATGATTTTATCTGCGTTTTGTTGAGAATGATAGGCCGATATTGCAATTTTAACCCCTTAAGGACACACGACGGAAATATTCCGTCATGATTCCCTTTTATTCCAGAAGTCATGTCCTAAGGGGTTAATGATTAGAACACAAAATCATAAAGAGGAGAAATTGGAAGCAAAGGGATGCACTCAATTAGGGGTTAACCCTTTGGAGACTACAGTAGTAAAAGCAAGAAAGAGGAGACAGTGAGTGCCCCTAAATAAAATATAGCTTTTAATAGTATAGTTAAAATTAGTGTATGCTATAAATTGAACCAAAATATATTATTAACAATGAACCCTGAGGGTTAAAGTCCTAAAGGGAAAACCAACTCACGCTAGATGTATCTATATAATCAAAAAGAAGTTCTGTTCAGAAGTTTTCAGGATCCTTCTCCAAATACTATGCAAAAACCAACGTTTTTTGCAACGAAATAGAGTATATTGGGTGAGTGGTGTCCCAAAGACACAAAATAACTATATATAACAATAATTAGATCGCAAAAAAGATAGCACAGGGATGCCTGTATCGAATATAAATGTAACAAAATCTTGCCAAATAGACTTTTAGTTACATTTAACAGTGTATAGTATTCACTGTTCCTGTGCATCCAAACAAACTCAAAAGAGATAAATGTATATAAATAGTGCTAGCTAAAAGTCTATATCTAGCACTATAATATATTTCAACCATTCACAGTGCTTTTAAAAAGAGTTATATATCTGCACTGGAGAAGAAAAACTACTACAACAAAAAGCAAGGTAGGGGGGGAAAAAGAAATAATGCCAAAATAAATAAATAAATAAAGTGTCCGGTCCACATAAAGACCCCCCAATGTTGAGATCGGAGTGGGGCTCAGGGATCCCTCAGGCTGTGCCAAAAATAAATAAATGATTTTATACGTTCTGGTCTTGGCATAAGCTAATAGAATTCTCATCTAAGGATCCCTAAAGAGCCCCCTAACCCCTGACCTAACACAAAATCATATTTCCCAGGTTTTCAAGGCTAAGAGTTACAGAGAGCCAGGTGCAGGGTCAGATTAGGAGCCCAGCGGGCCTGATGCCGTCATTTATAATGGGCCTAATCTTATTGACAAAAAAACCCAAACCACTAAAACAATCATAACTCTTAAGTGACATGTATCTGGCGGAGGTAAATGATGCGCTTGCATAACTCTTTCTGAGGACTGTCCCCTAGCACTCACTGGTGCACTCCACTCTTTACCTTCTTACTAGCAGGCAGAATCTCCTGGTATATAGTGTGAGGCAGAGACAGTTTTATTTAATAAGTGTAGAAGAAAGGGAACATGTCACAGAGTTCGAGAGATCGAAGCAGCAAGAGCATTTGCAAAGTGCGCAAAGTCGGCTTTACCTTAAACAATTTCTTTGTCAGTCAGTCCACACAAGTATTGTTACCCTAGATCTCTCTAAGGTTTCCATACTTAACTCCCTCTGCACAAAGCAAGAGCATGTGAAGAATATAAATAAAAATAAAATTGTATGTAATGATAATTGATAATACTAATATAAGATTGTAGACATCACAGACTGTCAGGGTTAATTATCAAAGTGAGAATTCAAATTGAATACATATAGAGAGTTTCAAAATTAAGGCCAGAGTAGCCGAACAGAAAGTATAGAAATTTTTTCTAGTCGAGGCAATTTGACCTCAAATATGAAATTCACTTTGAATTCTCACTTTTCTGAATAACCCAGTTAGTTTTTTCAAGTACCTCGAAACAGCCATATCAGCTGTTGGGCACATATTTTGAGGTCATCAATTTTTACATTTATATATACGTACAGTGCTTAATGTCCTTAGTTGGTTTCTGCTTATATACTGATACTATTTGGGGGTATTAGTTACTTGTTATAATTTTTTAAATTTTTTTATAATGCTTTATTTCAAAAGATATTTAAGTAATTACAAGTACAAAACATTAAACAGGTTATATTTATAATTATACAGTATAGACAATAAAATAAAAAAAAACATCATTACATTCGAATTGATGATCCTTAGTTATTAAATCTATTGGATGATTTTACCTGAATGCAAGGATATTCCTTTCATACTTCATTCATTCAAGAGACAGACAGACAGAAAAAGAGATAAGACAAAACAAAACACGTTTCCCTTTGGGTTCACAAGGACCATGTTGCGAGGTAGTCTAAGAGGACAGAGTCCCAAGATAATTCAGTTTATATTTTGAGAATCCTTACACTGTGTCCAGGGATGCTAGACTTGTCTATACTTACCGAATTCCCCTTTCGATGCATAGAATCCATATTCCATTCTGCATTGAAATTCTAATTGATTTTGTACTTCCAACCAGTTCGGTGGTCCTATTTTTTTCCCATTGTCTTGCTACACAGATCTTAGTGACCATTAGAATATGAACTATTCAGTTTTTCTGTATTTTGTTACCAAATATTAAACAAAAACATTTGTGGAGAATAGTAAGACTATTTGGGAACAAATTTTTGAGTAGCTTACATAGGCTTGTTTTTAATACGTTCAGCTGTATGCAGTCCCATCAAATATGATAAATAGTACCTATATCTGATAAACATCTCCAACAAAGATTTGAATCGGATTTAGATAATCTATGCATTCGTTGGGGAACCATATACCAACGGTAGATTAGTTTATAGTGTAGCTCCTCGAGTGTTATGCAATGAATATTGCGTGTGACGAGAGCTATTCCAGTAATCCATTCTTCCAGTGAGAAAGAACTATTTAGATCTTTTCCCATTTAAGAATATGGGCCTATTTAGTCGGAATTTCCATACTATTTTATAGTTTAATTGATCTAGATATCTGTCCCATTTTCCTTGAATTTAATATAAAATTTTTAAAGGACCACTCTAGGCACCCAGACCACTTCAGCTTTATGAGGTGGTCTGGGTGCCAGGTCCAGCTAGAGTTAACCCTTTTTTATTTATTTTTTTATAAACATAGCAGTTTCAAAGAAACTGCTATGTTTATAAATGGGTTAATCCAGCCTCTAGTGGCTGTCTCATTGACAGCCGCTAGAGGGCTTCCGCGCTTCTCACTGTGATTTTCACAGTGAGAAGACGCCAGCGTCCATAGGAAAGAATTGTGAATGCTTTTCTATGGACTGGCTGAATGCGCGCGCAGCTCTTGCCGCGCATGCGCATTCAGCCGGAGAGGAGGAGGAGAGCTCCCCGCCCGGCGCTGGAGAAAGAGGGAAGTTTAACCCCTTCCTCTCCATCCAGTCCAGTGGGGGCACCCTCAGGGCACTATAGTGGACCTTTAAGAATGTGATTTGGTAAAATAAATCTAGATAAGAGAAAACTTTTTTTGAAGTAAACAATTCATTATTTGGTAATCCGCATTGGGTCTGTAACTGTGAGAAACAGGTTATCTTATATTGATTAACTAGGTCTACTAAGTAAATTCAATCTTTCTGAATCCATGGGGTAAGGTTTAAATCAGCAATATAGCATTGTAAAGTATTGTAAAGCAGATTATTAGTTAAACCTATTTTTGTCTTTTTTTTTATAGTAATCAAGGAGTCCATTATAATGAGGTTAGAGATTTTACAGATTAAAGGGACACTATAGCCACCTGAACAACTTTAGCTTAATGAAGCAGTTTTGGTGTATAGAACATGCCCCTGCAGCCTCACTGCTCAATCCTCTGCCATTTGGGAGTTAAATCCCTTTGTTTATGAACCCTAGTCACACCTCCCTGCATGTGACTTGCACAGCCTTCCACAAACACTTCCTGTAAACAGAGCCTTTTTAGGCTTTCTTTATTGCAAGTTCTGTTTAATTAAGATTTTCTTATCCCCTGCTATGTTAATAGCTTGCTAGACCCTGCAAGAGCCTCCTGTATGTGAGTAAAGTTCAATTTCGAGATTGAGATACAAATATTTAAGGTAAATTACATCTGTTTGAAAGTGAAACCAGTTTTTTTTTTCATGCAGGCTCTGTCAGTCATAGCCAGGGGAGGTGTGGCTAGGGCTGCATAAACAGAAACAAAGTGATTTAAATCCTAAATGACAGTGAATTAAGCAGTGAGACTGCAGGGGAATGATCTATACACTAAAACTGCTTTATTTAGATAAAGTAATTTAGGGGACTATAGTGTTCCTTTAAGATGTTTTACGTCAGACCATATGATATTAGGAGAAAAGTATGGTAGGCAGTTTAGGCTCTCCATTTCAAACCAGGTCATATCAGAATGGTCTGGGACAGTCCAAGATAGTACGTGTAAGCTTACATGATTCATGTAAAGTAGTCAGGTCTGGAAAATATACCTCTCACTTATTCTTTTGTAATATTAGAATTTGATTTGCTATTCTAGGTCTTACCTTTTTCCAGCGCTGGGCGGAGAGCTCTCCTCCTCCGATCCTCCTTCTCTCCTGCCCGTCAGCTGAATGCGCACGCGCGGCAAGAGCTGCGCGCGCATTCAGCCGGTCACATAGGAAAGCATTCATAATGCTTTCCTATGGACGCTGGCGTGCTCTCACTGTGAAAAATCACAGTGAGAAGCACGCAAGCGCCTCTAGTGGCTGTCAATGAGACAGCCACTAGAGGCTTTGGGGGAAGGCTTAACCCATTAATAAACATAGCAGTTTCTCTGAAACTGCTATGTTTATTAAAAAATGGGTTAACCCTAGCTGGACCAGGCACCCAGACCACTTCATTAAGCTGAAGTGGTCTGGGTGCCTAGAGTGGTCCTTTAACTCTGAGGGGGATGGATCTTAACAGATAAAAGCCTATATAGTACCAAAAATACTTTATTAGATTGATTCCTCCTAGTCACAATATTTCTAATCCTTTCCATTTGATCAGCAACTCTTTGATTAATTTCAACTGATCTGTATGATTTTGTTCAAGTAAGGAATTAAAAATTCAAGCGCAATCTGTAAACTTGTTGTTACAATTAAAATGATGTTGATTTTTTAACTCGTCCATCTCTCCCTTGTGTACCCAAGCTGTCAAGATCTGTGTTTTATGTAAATTGATTTTATAATTAGAATATATACTATATTGGTCAATGAGTCTTAAAGCAGCGCGAATCGAGGCCAGTGGATCCGTGAGGCAGAGGAGCACATCGTCAGCAAAAAGTGTTACCTTGTGTTTGACATTTGCATCTTTGAGATTCACTTTGAATTCTCACTTTATTGAATAACCCAGTTTGTTTTTTCAAGTACCTCGAAACAGCTATATCAGCAGTTGTGCACCTATAATTTTGAGGTTATCTATTTTGACATTTATATATACGTACAGTGCTTTATGTCCTTAGTTGGTTTCTGCTTATATACTGATACTATTTGGGGGTATTAGTTACTTGTTAGAACATTTTTAAACCATTAAGGTATTGTTTGTTTTCAGTGGTTTCATTACAGTATCTGTAACTCCTCTTCATCAAGACTGTGATTGCCAAAATGTGTTTTAAAGGACCACTATAGGCACCCAGACCACTTCAGCTTAATGAGGTGGTCTGGGTGCCAGGTCCATCTAGGGTTAACCTTTTTTTCTGTAAACATACCAGTTTCAGAGAAACTGCTATGCTTATAAATGGGTTAATCCAGCCTCTAGTGGCTGTCTCATTGACAGCCGCTAGAGGCGCTTCCCCGCTTCTCACTGTGATTTTCACAGTGAGAAGACACCAGCGTCCATAGGAAAGCATTGTGAATGCTTTCCTATGGACTGGCTGAATGCGCGCGTGGCTCATGCTGCGCATGCGCGTTCAGGCGAAGAGGAGGAGAGGAGGCGGAGAGCTCCCTGCCCGCCGCTGGAGAAAGAAGTTTAACTCCTTCCTCTCCCCAGAGCCTTGCGGGAGGGGGACCCTGAGGGTGGGGGCACCCTCAGGGCACTATAGTGGTCCTTTAACGTCTGATTCTAGGGCTCATTATTCATTAATCCACTGATCGTAAAAGTATTGATGAAAAATATCAGAATGGTGGGATTGTGATCATGTCGGCAGCCAAGAAATTTTGAATATAGAAATATACAATTATAATTCCCCTATATATAAACAATTCATAAAAGACTATTTGGTTTCAAGTATTAAAGTTTTGTTTGTGAGTTTTTGTGGCAAATTTATTTACTGTAAAATCTCAAAGATGTAGGAAACACATTAATGCACAGCTAAAAAATTAAAACAAAAAAACAGAAGAAAAAAAACAGACAGCAAGGAATAGTAAAAATAGGTTATCAGTCTCACCTGACGCGTTTTGTGGTTTTCTGCTTTATTTATTCTGCGATGTACTTGTGTTTCCTGACTCTTTTGCTCTATTGGCATCAGAATAAAGGAAACAAGTTAATACAAATTATTTTGTTTTGCAAAATCCGTAAAGTTAACTTGTCATGTCCTTCCAAAATGGAGGGGATCTAATAACCAATGTCTTGCGCGGTTAACTGTATTTCAAACTGTTTGACTGGAATAATGTGAAATACTCACTTCACACTGTGGGAATCCCTTCCTGGACGGGGTAGCACACTATGGCAGGCTGAGATTTTTGTCTCAGACACTCGTAAAATTCACACACTGGTTTCAAACCCAGACCTGGAAAAATCTACAGCTTCTGAAAATGAATACACCCCTTGCCCCAGCACTCTGTTTAATTTCTATCTGGCACACTGAACAGTTCAGATTTTTTTTAATATCATCTCCAATGAAGCAACAGAGATTTTTGCTGAAGTAAAATACTGCAGTTTGGAAAATGTGAATTTCCCCTGCTTCCTCTAAGTCAAACCCGGTATATGGGCCAACAGAGGAGGGGGATTAAGACAGAGCAATGGTTTTTAGGTTCCTGCCAAACAAAGACATGTACCAGATGTTTTAAACTGCAATTAGATCCAAACACAGCTATTGCAGAGTATTTCCACTTTCTATAAAGCATTCAACATATTGCGCATCCTTATGGCACGCATTGGGTTTACTTTGTTGCCAGTCATATATTTAACATGTCTACCACCATGGAAGTCTTGCATTCTGTCAAAGGAACCATTCATAATGAAATCAAATGAATTTAACATATTGCAAAATGATTACTTTCTCACATGGGGTTTATTCACTAAACAGTGGATTGTGATCAGTTTGGCATAATGCAAGCAAAACTCCCCTCCCTTTAAATCGGCACTTTGTGCCTACATTTCATAATACGGTTTTCAATGCACTACAATTTGGTATTTCGTTTAGAAAGCACTTCAGTTTTTTTTTTTGGTTTATAGGTGTTAACCCCTTCACTACCAAGCGATTTGCAGAAAAACTACCCCTAGAATCAGAGTATCTTAAAAAAATAATTTTTTTTTTCAAAATTCGGCCCTAGATAGTGCATTACTTAATGGAAACAAAAACTTGGTCTGGAACAAAAAAAACAACTTTAAAAAAAAAAAAAAAAAAATTCCTTTACAAATTAATGAGGTTACAGATAGGAAAACAGAGTTTTAAATAAACATTTCTCAATATATTAATATTGTAGACTTTTTCCCTACATATGCTATAATCCTCTCACCTATCTATCCATAAGTATAGTGTATATATTGCTACATGAAAAAAAAAAAAAAATGAAAACAAAGGGAAAAAAGTTAGCCCACCTGCCACGTCAAGGCAAACCTCTCAGGTGGGTCCTACACTAACCATTCGCCTTGCTTCCTTGAGCTTCTGGCAAAGATCTCTCTAATGAAAGGGGTATTTTTATATATATATACACACACACACACACACACACCCCTACGATTGGTGGATGTGTGATACAAAAGTAAATACAAATACCAAAAACCCCACAAGTCCTGCACTCAAACTCCCATCACTCCTGGGCGGCAGCAACGATCATAGTCAAGACTTTAACCCACCTGAGAGGTTTGCCTTGACGTGGCAGGTGGGCTAAAGTCTCTCATGGCCATTGGAGAAACTAAATAACCTCCATTTGTTTAAATATACATAGGGATTTGGGAAGAGCACAGGTAACTTTTTTCTTTGTTTTTTATTGTAAGTATTGAGGCTGATGTGTACTATGGTCATTTTTTTTGTACACATATACATTGACATATATATTCACACAATCACAGTGTGAGTCTGGCACCTGTGAGTGCATGTCTGGCATTGTGTAACGTGTATGCGCCTGAGTGTGTGTGTGTCTGGCAGTGAGTATCCTTGAGCATCTGTGAGTGTACATCTGTCTGTATGTGTATCCATGGCTGTGCCTGCAATGCATATCTGTGTATATGTCTGTCTGTGTTGCTCTGTGTCTGGAATCATGTGTGGAAAAAGCTGCTTGCACAGTATTTGTGTGTATGGAAGGGCTGATTGTGTTCTTGCTGTGTGCCTTGTATTTATGGTGGGGCTGTGTTGTGTGTGAGAGAAGTGATTGTGTGAGTATGAGAGTTACTATTTGCAGAGTGGTGCCTGTGTGTCTATCAGGGTGTGTGACAGAGAGACATTGGCAATGTAACTGTGTTTGATAGGTAAGTGTTGCAGTGTGTGGGGAGGGAGTGATGTGACTGTATGACTGTGCGTGTGAAAGGGGTGATTGACTGGGGGACTATGTGTGGGTGGATGATGTAACAGGGTGACTGTGTATGTGTGGGGCAATGTGACAGGGTGACTGTGTGTGTCAGGGTAAATTGCATATAGGGAGGCTGTGTTTCCCTTTTCAGCCTTCCCACACAGGGGTGTGCAAATCATTTTGGTTGAAGGTGAGCCCCTCTGTTTACCTTCAGCCACACTCAGTTTGCTCTCTGGGAAGGTGGCTCTCTCTGCAATGTCTGGCAGCAGACAGCTCCCATAATCAAATGGAGGTGGGAGGATGTAATATCATGTTACATCCCCTCTGTGCTCCATGTTACAGACAGGGGAGAAGGAACCTATGACCTTCTCCGACCCTCCTCCCCCGTGGCAGAACTAATGTAGAGAGTGCCCTGGTGCAAGAATGGTTTTTGGGCAAAATGTAGATCCCCATCTGTCGTGCAACTCCCACAATGCTATGTCAGCTGAAGATCTACCATTTGTCCATCTTTGTATTGTAAGAAATGTTTATGTGTTTGGATGTAATCATGTTCATATGTGCGCATGTTTAGCTGTAATTATACTGTTGCCATTGGAATGTGGTGGTGTGCGTGTTTCTAGTGTTTGCGTTTGAATGCATGGGTGTGTTTGAAAGGAGCGTTGGCTTTTAAATGCAGGTGTACATTTATGTGGAGTGTTGATATGTGAATGAAGGGATGTTTGTATATAATTTGGGAGTTCTAATACAGTTGTGTTTCTATGTAATGTTTGCATGTTTTGTTGGTGTTTGATTGCTGGGATGTATGCATATACACACACACTGCAACATACCTACTTGCATACATATGTACACAGATAAACATACACATTTATACACACACACCCCGACACAACCATGATGACACACACTGATACACTTACTGACATATGAATACATACACACATATGTTTTAGCATCTTTAGGCTTACCTGGAGTCCTGCTAATGGGAGTGTGGGTCCGGATCTCTGTTTCGTCCCACACCAGCTGTGGCTCCTCTCCCTCCAGCGCGGCTCTTCCTCCCAGCATGCTGATGTTAAAAATGTCCTGGTCAGGCTCTTAATGGGGCTGGGTGCCCAACCAGGCCCCTTTTCAGAAATACCCATCAAGGGGCCCTAAGTGCATGGGCCACCTCAGGGTAATTCCACCACTGCTTCTCCCCTACTGACAACTGCAGCTCCGAACGGATGAGAGATGAATACAGACAGTCAACCTGAATTTATCTCTCTGGAGTTCATAACACGGTGGCTTTGCTGCACTGTGAACTTCAGTAACTTTAATAAGGGCATCATTGCAAACAAAATGTGCTTCCTATAGGAAAGCATTGGATTGGGTGAGATCATTTAGATTGATGATTTTAACCATGGAGGCGCGGCCAGACGCAGTGAAACAAGCGCGGCAATGGAGAAACGGTAGGTTTAAAGGGACAATGTAGTCATCCAGACCACTTAATCTTATTGAAGTGGTATGGGTAAGGTGTCCCTGACCCACTTAGTCCTGCAATTTAAAACATTGTAGTTTTTGAGAAACTGCAATAATTACATTGCAGGATTAAGACAGCCACTAGAGGCACTTCCTGTTGGCTAACCAATTTTTTGTTTGCCCGACGCTGGACATCCTCATGATCTGCATGAGGACATTCAGTGTCAATAAAATCCCCACAAAAGAGCATTGAAGCAATGCTTTCCTATGGGGAGGCCTAAGGCACTTGCCGCGCATGCGCATTAGTTCCCCCCCGCCCCCCAATTGGATCACGTTGGAAAAGATGAAGCACCGACCCAGTGCCAGGGGATATTGGTGCTTGAATTGGGTAGTGACCCAAGATTTAGTTTTAACCCTTAATAAGCCGGGGGCTTTGTATTCCTATACACTATAACACTATAGAATCCCTTTAATATTTTATTTCTCTACTCTGAGGAGGTGCAGGGAACCCAATAGGTAGTTCAAAACTATAGCATTAGAAATACATGTTTGTTCCTTTAAGGTAAAAGAAGTTAGAGAAGTTTTCCGGTTTGGCTATTATAAACTTAGATTTGAAATTCAATTTAAATTCTCATTTTAGTAAATAAACCTGAATGAATTAAAAAAATGTATGTCAAAATAGTGGAACGGGAAACATTCTGAAAATCAGCGTAACTATTTTAGTCAACTTAAAATTCACTATCAATTCCCAACAGACCGCAGAACCTATATGTACCCAAAACAAAAAGATCCAGAAAGCGTACAGTGACCACTTCAAGCACTGAAAAAAGGTCAACGAGGGCTTGTTATAAAGTGTTTCATGCAGATGGTCAGCAAACTCTAAAAATTCTCCCGGGTCTTTATGATCAAGACCCGGAAGGGTCGAAACATTACTGCTTTTGCACCAATAAAGCTATTTCTGTTATCCCAGAGTGCCCGAACCATTATGTCGGACAGAATGATCTAGAGAGCAAAAATATGACCCTCTTGCTGTAACCGGCCTCCATAATAAGTGAACTGCACTGTATTTATTTAAGTTGCAATTAGTTTATCAATATATTCAACAAAAACTGTTAAGTAACACTTCTGAATTCCAAAGGACTTTGTTATAACATTTTTGTGTGATAAGAAAAGTTCCAGCAAAACAATATTCTGGGCAAGCACCGGAGAAGGGACAATTTTTTACAAGAAAAAAAAAAAAAAGACACAGAGAATCCTACCTTCCATGCTATAAATAGTCCACGCCAGGAATTTTTCTGGAATTATAATCCTTGTGGAATAATTTTTTTTCTTTGTCTGGAGACATGTCCTCCCAACCCCCTCAGGGGAAGATTGGAAACAAACACAGATTCTACGGACAAAGTAATAAAAACGTACATAGGGCAATAATATACAACAGTATGCGGAAATTTGTGGTGTTAAATGCACTCACAAGAGCAATAAAAACAAACAGCATATCACCCAGTCCAGGGTTAAATCCTTAGGGAACTCCAAACTACCATAAGAGGTTCTTCAATACAAAAAGGAAGCACAAACAGTGCAGAACATCAAGTTGAAACAAGACTTTTAATAAAGTTTTGCACTTCAAAATGATATAAAAGTCCATCACCACTTAAGATGGACGAAACGCGAAGGGATTCAATTGTATTTATTTATATCTATTTAGTATGTGTTATTGTATTTGTTTTAATACTACATTGTCTGGTCTATACCGGTGACTGCTTTGGGGCTACAGCACTAGAGATAGAGGATCCAGGATTATACCACTAGAGTGGAGATAGGCTTGTATATCTCATTTTGTAAGTACAACACTTTATTAAAGGACCACTGTAGTGCCAGGAAAACATACTCGTTTTCCTGGCATTATAGTGCACTGAGGGTGCCCCCACCCTCAAGTTCCCCCTCCCGCCGGGCTCTTGGGGGAGGAAGGGGTTAAACTTACCTCTTTCTCCAGCACCGGGCGGGGAGCTCTCCTCCTGTTCGACTGAATGCGCGGCAAGAGCTGCACGCGCATTCAGCCAGTCCACAGGAAAGCATTCACAATGCTTTCCTATGGACGCTGGCGTCTTCTCACTGTGAAAATCAGCGAGAAGCGCGGAAGCCCTCTAGCGGCTGTCAATGAGACAGCCACTAGAGGTTGGATTAACCCTATTATAAACATAGCAGTTTCTCTGAAACTGCTATGTTTATTTAAAAAAAAAAGGGTTAAACCTAGCTGGACCAGGCACCCAGACCACTTCATTAAGCTAAAGTGGTCTGGGTACCTATAGTGGTCCTTTAAGGTGTTTGTTTAACTTTATGTTCTGCAGTAGTGTGTGCTTTCTTTTTATACAGGAATACCTTATGGAAGTTTGGAGTTCCCTTAGACTGTAACTCTGGAATTGGTGATGTGCTGCTTGCTTTTATTGCTCTTGTGAGTGCATTTAATGTCACGGATGCACCCTAGTACAAGCATGCGCATGACTTGGTTCTAGTGGTGATAGGGTTAAAATTCACTATTTGTTGACACTAGACCAGAAATAATGATAAAATTCCCCCTTAACACCACACACATCTAATTATAATAATATAAATATCATAATGCTGCCACCACCAAGACAATTTATAAAATGACTACAAACCCACAAAATCCAATTTAGCACATTATCTATGTGATTTCATATTACTAATAAATAGGTCAGGTAACGTGAGTCATTATCAGACAAAGGCAGAACTTAATAAAGGAATATTTATTATGAGCAAAAACAATAGTCACAGTGAATATAAAGACAGATGACACACACATTATTTTCACCTAAACAGATAAAAAAAAAAATAAAAAAAGAGAAATGAACAGAAAACCCAACTACTCACTTAAGTGGTAAAGTAACACTATTTTGTGTTCAGTGAGGCTCCGGCAAGTAAAGATGGCTACTTACTCAAAATTAGATATTGGCCCCTAACAAGAGCATTCAACATTTGCACACCATTGGCTTTATGCTTCCTGTATTAATCTTAAATTTCCAAGCCAGCCCAGAGGTGAAGGGAAGGAGTACCTATAAGAACAATACGTGGTCTTACCCTTGTGTTTCAGACAAACACCAATCCAAATAGAAAAATTTGATTTCATTTTCGCTTTTGTCCTTGCCACAGAAATAATTTTTGCATCTATGAATTTGTTGCAATCTTTCGACTCCATAGATATGTCACACTTCCTTCTTATGACCTAATACCACAGATTTTAACAATTACTTTAACAGCAACAAGACAATCACGCTAGCTGCTTTGATAACAGGTTGTGAACTGAAATTTGTAAATAAAAGTTTTAACCATTTCCACTGACATAGCTGTTTCCTTTGTTCCAGATGGGAGAGCACATGTTCCATGAAAAAAAGGAAGACGAAGTCCTTGAAATTCTCCAATAACAATGAGAGTTCGAATTAAGGGAGATGTCCTTTGCACTCTTCTTCTGGTGATCTCTCTCAGCACTTTGCTGTATAGTTTGTTAAGACCAACTGCTAAACAAGACATTGCTCCAGTGAAAAACACTAAAAGACTCAAGAACCCACCCAGGACTGCAGCTTCCAAGAAATATTATGACTCTAAAGTAACAGGTAAAGTTAAACTCCTTTCAGAGGATCATCATGCAGACGTAGACAGTGAAGATGTTAAGCCCACAGTACCACCAGTAAAGACACAATCTCCATTTGACTTCCAACAGTACCTCAGCAGTAAAGATCATCGTAACTTTAGCTTGCTAATCAACCAACCAAACAAGTGCACAAAACCTTCCGGAGAGTCATTCCTACTCATTGCAGTAAAATCCATTGTGGAAGACTTTGACCGACGTGAAAGTGTTCGCAAAACCTGGGGGAAAGAAGGATTAGTCAATGGTGTGCGGGTCAGGAGGGTATTTCTTCTAGGGATCCCCAAGAATAAAACAACCGTGTCCTTGTGGGAGTCCCTTATGCAACAAGAGAGTCACTATTACAAAGATATATTGCTGTGGGATTTTCTTGATACGTTCTTCAACTTGACCTTGAAAGAGATCCACTTTTTGAGCTGGGCAGAAATGTTTTGCAATGACGTTAAATTTATTTTCAAGGGTGATGCCGATGTATTCGTCAATGTAGAGAACTTGATACATTTCTTGCAGAACCAAAACGCTTCTGAAGATTTGTTTGTTGGGGATATTATAAATCATGCCAAGCCGATAAGGTCAAAGAAAAGCAAATACTACATTCCAGAGACTATGTACGGGTTAGGGATATATCCAGCCTATGCAGGAGGTGGAGGATTTCTAATGTCGGGAGTGACCATGACAAAGTTGGCTGAAGCCTGCAAAGAGGTGGAACTCTTTCCTATAGATGATGTATTTTTGGGAATGTGCTTGCAACGTATTAATCTCAAACCAGTTCTACACGAAGGATTTAAAACATTTGGAATCACAAGACCCTCGGCTGCACCTCACTTACAGACATTTGATCCTTGCTTCTACAAAGACCTAATGGTTGTACACAGTCTCAAAGCAGCAGAGATCTGGCTCATGTGGAACCTTCTGCACAGTCAACAGCCACCCTGTTCCCAAAAACAGAGAATAAAAAAACCGTTCCACTGGAAGAAGAAAAAGACAAAACAGGCCATAAATGCAGTCACGAGGCTACAAGTGAACTAAGAACTTTCAAGCACATGGTGAAATAGTTGGACCCTTAAAGGTTGGGAAGATGCAGAATGTCCAATCCTGCTTCAGATTGTAGAAACCAACTACGGTATATGGCCTCACAGCATTGGATCGACGACAGCAACCATTCATGAAAAGTGAAAACCAAAAAACACAACACACTTCTTAGAAGATAAAATGTTTTTAATCCCTTAAGGACACATAATGGAAATTTTCTGTCATGCTGGCCTTTTACTTCTGAAGGGGTGTCCTAAAGTGTCAACAAAGAAGGGGAGAAAGAGTAATGATGTACAAAGGTCGCACACACACACAGCACTTTCTTATTGCACTTATTATGGAAAAAAACTGCTAAGATGCAGCATGTATTCATAGAAAAAAATTATTCAGACACAAAGCAATATACGCAAACACAAAACAAAAACATAAAAGAACAAAAAACAGGCAAACAAGTTGTGACCAAATGGTCTCCCTTTATTGGGTTGTGGGTATACATGCTGTTTCGGAGCAACAGATTTCATAAGAATTATTGTAAAAAACTAAAATAAAACAAAACAAAAACATGATCACAAATATATTTATTTTTTGAAAACAGCATTTTTTTCTCCGAGAGTTTACCTAATAAGACCCCCATGTAGAATCTCTCTAAGTTTAGATACTTCCACATTATTCTCTATACTTAAAACGGCACAATTATTCTGTACTCTTGGACCAAACCATGGTCTCCCACATGCCTCAAGTCTGTTCACTTCCTGTCATACAGGGCTGGGGATGTCACCACGTTTAAGGACGCAATACTAGCAGGATTGGGCATTGTAAACACAAATAAAAAGCAGCTATGAGGGTTTCCTCAAATGGAAAGTGTCTGGGCAACAATCTGCAGCAGGGACGGTGGATTTCCTTTTTTAATATTAACTCTATGGTAGTCAAAAGGGTAAATAGCTGAACAGAACAAAATGTTGATTGAGCACTCTGGTGGGAACGTGGGTAATTAAACACCTGAAAGGAAGACTACATTTTGAGAGAACATGCCTTTCTAGTTCACATTTACATGGCAGCAAGCTTTGGGGGGGGCGGGGAGGCATCTTCTAACGTTCAGGTTCTCTCCCTGCATGCGGACATCACCTGCACACATTTTACTACATACAAACAAAAACCCAAAAACAATATTTACAAAAGAAAAAAATCTGTACACTATGCTGTAAAAACACACAAACTTTGTCCATGTATCACGTTATTACACCAAAATATTACAAAGAGGATACATTTCTATTAATAATTTAATCATTACAATTTCAACCTCTCCCCCCACAACCAGCCGCCTTCTCCTATACACAAAATGACCCAGAGAGACTCAGTGCTAGTGATAGCGTTGGCTACCATTCTGGCATCAACTATTAATAAGCAGGGAGAAGAGGACAGAATCCCAGTAACCTAAGGAGAATGTTGTGTCTATAGGCATCCATGGCAGTAAGAAATCGCAACACATTGCTCAACGGTAAATTGTCTGCATGTGTGTATTACATTACTGCTGTTAGTACCCCCAAAAATGTCTTTCCCTTTATAAAACATGGAAAAATATAACTGTAACAAACTTGGCACTACCTCTTAGAAAACCAGTACATGCAGGATCCGGACCAATTGGAAGATGTAGAGAAATAAATTACAGATCATACATCCCTTGGTAACTGTCTGGCAGACATCTTTGGCTATTGTGTAAAAAGCATGGAGTCACCACTCCCCCTATTAACTAGTGCATTTGGCCTCTCTTCAGCAACAATGTACTAATATATCCTAAGGTATAGGTATTTCAAATACTGGACCTCTACCAGTTGGTGAGCTGAGTCTCCCATGAACCTTTGCAAGCCACCTGATGATTTTATGTTTTGGCAAAGGGTAAAAAGTGCAGTTTGCCAACAGAGAGAGGCCCTCTGTTTTAACAGTTTTAAAGAATTAAATCAATAAAAATACATCATTTTTGCACTGTTATGAGAGCAAAAGTGAAACAGGATCTGTACATCAGCTGGATAGATTTGTAATTATAGGGGACATAATGCCTTTATGTAAGACATTAGCAAAATATGTTTAAAAAGAAACATATTACACAGGAAAAAAATAAAATAAATCTATGCTTCAGTTTAGAGGGACACTCTATGCACCAATAAAACTTGCATATTTTATAGATTTTGGCCTCATTAATATGCTGTATTGTTTGGGGGCAAATCCAACATCACTGTGTGAGCTGGTTTTAATTAACAACCTGGCTGCAGACAGTCAGAGAAACTACAAACAGGCAGTGATAACCTTATCTATACGTGTCCCTGGGTGTCCTCTCCTTCTAATGCAAGCTAATTGGACTGCATTCTGTAAAATATTTATATTTTTGTGCAAAATATAAAACTATGAAGATTTAAGCAAATACAGCATATTATATGAGATCAAAACTGATGATATGGATTTCAGTTTCACAGCTGCCGGGAATGTCCCTTAATAGTAGCACTCTAGGTATCATAACTGTTGCTCATCGGCTTATGTCAAATCATTTTTAAGTGTCCTGAAAAACCTAGGTCTCATGCTGGGAAGTTGCAGAATGGCCCCCACTGCTGTGACTCTGCTGATGCAGATACGAACATCCGCATTAGCTCACCCGCTTTTGGTGTCAATGATAAACAGTGTTAAGTTAGTTAAATGCTGGATAAGGGTCTAAATTATTTGAGTTACAGTAGCGAGGTAAAGCTTGTAGGTGGTGTTTTATCGAATAGCTTGAAAACCATTAGATACAAATCATGGTGATGTAACCCACTTAGTTTTTAAGTACCATAACAACTACAGCCTAGTAGTGGTTATGGTTTAGGGAGTCCCTTTAATATTCTTGGCTCTCGTTTTGACTATTGTAAACAGCTTTAAGCAAAGATGTCCCGTTAAAGCCAACTTTAAAGATCCAGCCAAAAATAAAGGTCTACGAAGGCAAAACGCAATGGGCTGTTCAACGATGGAAATTGTATAAGTAAATAAAGTTAGTTTTAACAGCAAACTTGTGCTACAGAACTTTCCACAGTCAATTGGTTTTAATTCGTAGAATCAATTATACATCAAATGACGGCAGTGAATTATTCATGAGCATTTAACTTTTATAGGCAGTTTGTGCCTGTGTCTGAATACATGTTTATTGTGTAACCACTAAAAAAAATAAAAATAAAAAAAATAAATAAAAAAAACTTTTCCAACATGGTCCATTTGCCAGGCATAGAGCAAGTTGCCAGATGATTTCTCAGTAATATGAGCTAGATATTTTAACACAGTTCAAGCAGGCATCATCATGGTTATGTAAGCTCCTAGCATGAATGATACCAAACAGGAAATAGATGTACAGTAATTCTGTTTATACAGGGTTGGACATAGACTTTTCAGAGTTATTTTGCTTTGTGTCCAAAATAAGATAATACTTTGCAGATAATGACAGTGTTTCAGGTTTCCTATTAACATGGCCAATGCAATACTAAATATTTGAAATAAAAGGCATGGTAATGATGACTTCAAAGAAGAGTCGTCAATTTGTTTATACAAGTTAATATGTTTTACAGCTTCTGTGTATATTTTACAACATATACATACAAGTAAATACCATATTTCAGTGCATTTTCCAATTTTGCCGTACTATGTGGGACATTTTTAAATCCTCTTTGATGCATACATATTCAAATAAAGGCCAAGCACGTAGTCAAGAAGACTTGTTGCATGTTCACAATTCCTTAGGTCATGTACAAGTGCTGGGATTCTCAAAAATAAAACTTTATGAGCTAAATTCGACTATTCGAGCATGGACTTGGCCGATATGAGGTGCGGGCAACCACTTAAAAATGGTTGCCCGCGCTGAGAAAGGGTAAGTTTGGAAATGCTCTGTAGAAGTGTTTACGAACAATATGTCATCAGTGTATATTATTGTAACGCATACATATAAGTAATCTTTTTATTTTCAATGATAATAAATTATAACAATTTTCCTTTTAAATAAAATGGCACTCTCACAAAAGTGAAATATGTACCTACTGTGGGATGATTTAAAATTTAGAGAAAGCGAAAGAAGATTCACATGGTGAGGCAGGAGGGGGAAAAACCCTTTAAAATTAGATCTGCTTTTTTGTGGATTTGTTTTTTGCCAATCAAAATACAGGAAGAATTTAAATTACAGATGTGGTAACAAAAATTTATAAATGAAGACAAATAAAAAAAAAAAACAACCATTCCTCTGTGACAAAATGCCTGTTTCATCAGTCAATAGAAGTGACTTTTATTAATACAATATACTGGACATATTCTACGGGTTTCAGATAGAAAAAAAAAAATTAATGTATTTGTATTTTTTAAATTCTTTAAATCTGCCACTTAATTGAAAGCATTATTGTAAATTTAAGAGGTGTTCGAAAAAAAAATTAATTCTTTGCTATGCAAATTTGTACAGGGTTCACATCCTATTAAAAGTTGATAAAAGAAGATAAAAAAAAATTAAAAAAAATTGGCCCATCTATTTTAAGACATAATTATCTCCTTGGAGAAAAACAAACCAAAAACATTTGGAAACTTATCATCATACGAGTGTCCAATGAAGAGAGGAAGAAAAATTAAAATAAAAGTAACAGCGGAAAATATATTATTTAAATAAGATTAATAAAAAAAAAAAAAAAAAATTATAAACAGCACATCAAGTAATTGTTAGAAATACAGCGATTACTTACTCGCCATATAAATAAGCATTTCACGCAGCTTATAAAAGGTCTCCATGTTCGTTTTCAGATGCGGTTCAGTGAACACGATGACTGATCAAGTAAAGTGTATGTAGTGCAAATGGTATAAACTAAATTTCTGATCGCATTCTGGTTCGGGGTTTATTCTCATCACGGAGGGAGCCTACAAAGAACTGACCGCTTGTTAGAAGCAGCACAATGCCTGGAGGATAAACGCACAGGTGAGGAGTATAAGCCCAAGTTACACCCTTATCATCATGCTAAACATGTGTGTAACACGGGAAAAAAGTGAACAGAAGATCTTGTCAACAAACGGGTTAGAAGTCACAGTTAATGATGTCCTGAAATATGAAGGATAGAGGTCCACCACAAACTTGTGCTAGGGGTCATCAAGATGTTAGACACCTGTTCCTCCTTGTTCTTTGGGACAGCTGTAATCCCCCTTTGAAAGCACAGCGGCACGAGACATAATTTAAAGAATGCTGCTGGACTCAACCCAGAAGACCAAAAGGTGCTGCAGTCTATACAACAAGAAAAATACCCCGATCACTTTAGATCTCACTTTGTGAACAAATACACAAAGATTCTGAGGCTGTTTTGCATGTATTCGGCTTCTTGAAGTCACATGATGTGGTACCTGAATGAGATTATATATACATACATATGTATATATTACAAGATACATACGCGCATATGTACACACCAGTCACACTTTAAACTGCTTTTGACCACAGAAATATCAATGTGTTTACATACACATGTATATTAATATTTACAAATGTGACTATCACATGATTTTAGTAACACTAACACGAAGATTCCTCACTTCCAGGTCCTGCACACGGCTTTATCATGTTTGTGCTTTTAGACGCAGTAGAGAGTTCTCTGTCGGCCCTTGATCTTTCATCTATAAGGTCACAGGGACGTAGAAGACACACTGACCGCAAAAAAGGTGCCTGGTAGGAACGGGAAGTAGTGAGGGGGAGGCAGGAGATACCCACAGTCTGTGCAGCGCCTCCCAGGTCTGCCAAGGTCGCACTAAGCATGGCAAGGTCAACCCTGCTTCGTGCGGCTGTTCGGCAACAAGTCAAGGCACACTGGGCTAGACCAACACACCAGTTTCTTCCGGGTTTACTGGCTCGTCTCGGAGGATTTCTGCTGGACGCTGGGTCTGGGAGCTCCGTAGAGAGTAACAGATGCTATGTGGTTATTCTGCATCACCTGGAACACAGACTTTGTAAATTAAAATATGCTGAAGACCAGATGGAATGCATAGGACAAGAAACACACTCAGGTACTCCCTGTTCGTTCTCTGTGGTGCAAGCATGAAAAGTGAACTTCATTAATGTGAAACCAGTAAATTCACAGATAATCCTGTGATAGTATATATCCAAGTTATTGCAGTATAACTGGAGTGTGAACAAACGAGCCCTACTGTCAGCTATGCAACAGGTAACCTTCATTATAATTTGCTTATTACCTGATGTATGGAGTAAATACTGTGACAGCGTTTCCTGTTTGGTACAAGTACTAGTCTCTGACAGTTTCCTTTGTGCTATAAATAGTCCTGACAGACAGTGCTGTGTGTGTATAAATTGTGATACTCTAATAGATACCCCTATGGTATGAGTCTGCATAGTATAAGTTCTTGAACAGACGGTGTTCTCTTTTTGGTACAGGTACTCTGACATACCAGTTCCGTGTAGTACAAGTACATGTTCACTGAACTATGGAGATAAGTACTCAATATTCACTGGAAAAGACCATCCTTAGATAATATTTATGCCCACCCCAGGGGCGAATTTTTCTTACAGAGACAACTAATTAACTCTTCTAACCTCAAAGATCATCCTCTGGAGGCCAAAGCAGAATGTTGATCCAAATGGATTTGTGTTGTTGGGTGAAGATGACCTGAAAGGGAAATTTAACGTCATTATCGAATGGTCAACGTCAATAGACCAGTAACATTACAGATATAAATAAAGCAGATACTGGTTTCCCCCTATCTTTGACACCTTATATTGCTGTTATAATATAATACAAGTGACGTTTTGCAGATTAATTCTTCTGCACCTTATAAAAAGAGTGTAGTTTGATATATAATGATTAACATACGTTACACACAGATTTAATAAAGACTATAGCTGGTAAATCTGATTCCAAAGCTGCACGTGTAAGTTTACCTGTGAAGAACTACAGGCTTCTCCATAGGGTGTCCTAGGAGCTCCTGAATACTGTCCCACTGAAAGACCAAAAACAAAGACAACGATCATCAAAGGCACATTTAACCCATAATCTCCAGCCACACAGGGTTTTTCATTAAAGTATGGCTTATAAAGAATACAAAGTGAATTTCATAATTTAAGGTTTAAAATAGGTGAGCTGTAGAGTGATATGGAGAATATTCCCAAATCAGCTATTGCAGATCAATATCTAAAATTCACGTAAAATGACCAACAATTCACACTTCAGTGAATAATCCGTCAGTCTTCAAGAAGCCTTCTAGAACGTAAACTTGTTTTGAGCAGGACCTTTTTTACTCTAGCTAGTACTTTGTACAGCACTTCAGAGTATGTTGGTGATATATATACACCACGCGCGCATTAGAGCTCCACTAAAAACATTGAATTTCCTACTGGATTGCACATTCTCATGTAAAGGACATCCAGCATAAAAGTCCATGAAGAACCTGGAAGCGCCTCTATGAATGAATATTTGTCTTAAGACATATAAAATAATTTTAATTTACCAACTGTGTCCAGGGAAGTAGTGGTGGAAAGACCACCCAGAACACTGCAATTAGCGCATACTGTGTTATGTTAAAGCTACGTATCATATTTATTCAAAAGCTTTCTACTTGAGGGCAGGAGTTGGGATGAAACTGAAGTTCTCCTATAGCCACGGGGGCATATTGCACATTAAGCATAGTGGTTAGTTCTATTTTTCTTCTCCTTATAAAGTCTCACTTAATAAGGATTACCATACCAATAATCTCCTTACAAATATAATTTACTGATCATTCCTCAGTTGTCCAAACATTGACTCCGTAGCAACAGAGGCTAAGATTATAATGGGTATCAATAGACAGAAACAGTATGTAAACATTTTTGGTGGGGCAAAAAAGTTACCAGATAAAAAAATATTCTCACCTTGCTGTAGGTGGTGCAGATTTCTGTTTGTGTTTCAGAGGTGTCTATAAGAAGAGGAAGACAGTATATAATTTACGAATTAGATCAGCTATGACAAAAAGGAAAGAAGGACAAAGTCTAGGATCCACTACAGCTTGGGTTAAAACCTCATTCAAGGAAGAATACAAGGATATTTTCTTCTGTTTTCAGTATAACCTGAGGGTATAGGTATTATTAGACCACAATGTTACTGACCTCAGAAGGATGTATTACAGATTAAGCCGTACTAGAAAGTGAACCTGCAATCTGATGTCTAGTGCTATAAACAACAAAAAATACCAACCAGTCATGCGCTTTTAAATTTTTTTTTATAAAGACATCATTGTTAAGATCAGAGTAACTCACCTCTCTTAACTGTTAAAGGAATCCGGAAATCACAGCGATGGTAACTGGAATAAGAAGCAGAGGAAAGGTCATTATACAAGAAGTAAACGGTTATAGGATTGTTCATTTAATCAATTTCAATAAATTACGCAACATACAACTGTTAAAAAATTAACAAATGTATAGATTCCCTTTTTTGAAAATGCCCCAAACTATTACACAGTTACATCAATGAGAAGAGACATGCATACATCAAGTTCAGCCTCTCTCACATTTGTTTTTGCTGTTGATCCAAAAGAAGGCAACAAATCCAGTTTGAAGTAATTTCCAATTTTGCGACAAACTAGGAAAAAAAATCCTTCTTGATGCCAGAATGTCAGTCAGATCTCTCTTTGTATCAAGCAGCTATTACCACACAAATTAAATATTATATTCCTGAATATTATGTTTTTGTAAGTATTCATCATGATGCTGTTTACGCATCTGTATAGACTCTAATAAAACCACCTCTTCAGGCAGAGAATTCCACATCATTATTGTTCTTACTGTAAAAAAACAAAAAAAAACTGCCATTTGCCTTAGACTAAATCTTCTTTCTTCCAGTTTAAATGTGTGACCTTGTGTTCTATGTATCCGGCTTATGAATAGATTTCCAGACAATGGTTTGTATTGGCCCCGGATTATAGATAACTAGGTAAATAAAAGCTGCTTTGTAACATGTTCTTTTAAAGGTGAACTGGCACCTCACGGAAATTTAAACAAATGAACAAAACATGTCAAAATAACAATTTGCTGTGCATCTATTTTCATGAAACACACTGTTTCCTTTCAAATTTATATAAAAGATTTAGGGAATCACATCATAAACCAGTTCATAGGCAGAAAAGCCAGTGCAAAAATTCCAAATTAAGATGAGAAATCGAAAAACTGTTTAATTTCTCTGCTTCTCTGTATGCCTTTACTATGACGGTTACAAACTCTGACCTTTGTCCCTGATAATGATAGACAGGGGCCTAAGATGGAGGAAACCAGTTGCAGAATAGGGAGGGTTAGATTTCTACATTTATCAACTCACATACATATTGTGAGAGCTCCCCTTTAGATGTGAGACTAGCTCATTCACCCATGTTTTTATTGTAATAATATCCGAATAAAATATATTTTGCACAACATACACACAAGACTATTAACGATTTATGAGAATATCTCCACTGAACTGGAGAAAGCTGCAGTTACACAGTAAATAGATTATTGTGTGAAGTGTCATTGTTATGTTATTGTTATCGTCATTATTAAAGATGGAACCACAAGATTTGTATTCCCTTTTTTTTGTGAATTCTAAAGCAATGTGTTTGTTGGCGTAGGGTTTAGAAGCTTTTACTGAGCTAGAGTTAAATTTAGGTGATGGAAAAAAGCATTATTAATTATGGTTGGGTGTGTTTTTAAGATGTGGTTAGTGAAATTAGTGATATGAGCTTAATTTCAGTAACATTATAGTTGATACAGCTATGTATCCATCTACTTACATGTTGAAGTTGTAATGCCCGGGATAATTTGTGTGCAGTACAAACTTCTTGGCCTTGTGCGTATTTGCATCAAAGAGAATATCCTAAAAATTTGAGATACAGATAAATGAAAAGTGTACTAGACAGATCTGGAATAGATAGACAATCTCTGCTGAAGAAGAATGAGATTGGAGTAGAACCGTCTGCTTGTCATAGTTACAGGTAATACAGTCAGATGAACATTACTGTCACATTCTTTAAATAAATCTCTTCATCAGGACAATGATTTTTAATGAAGTAAGAAGAGGTTGTAGTTCTATACAAATTTCCATCTGTCTTGATCTCAAAACAATTATCTGTGATTCTGCGTAAAGTATCACCCACTTAATACAAGGGCTGTTGAGTCATAACACCAACTTAATTTATGGTACCACCGACTGCAACTCCTTATATTATCTAATTATATTACAATTTACCATATATGCCTGCGCATAAGGTGACATTTAAAGTGGGAAAAATAAAATATGACAATACCAAAAACTAGGGGTCTACTAATATGCTGGACATAAACTTGTTCATATGTGGCTGAGACAAATATAAGACCTTAATCTAATACTTTTTTGATACACTCAATGCTTTTGTCCTTCTCCCTTCCAAAGAAATAGAATTTGTGGAGTGCTTACTATGACTGTTACCACTCGATCGAGTACACTTCGGAATCATAATTTAACAATTTATACACAAATGTCGGGTATAACTAGCAGATGACATAACTGCTTACCGTATCGTAATATGTAAACACAGCTGACTGGCTGGAGAGATACACACAAGCCATCTATTGGCAAAAAGGTAAACTACATGCTAGTCTTTTATTTGTGAACTCTGACCATCTTCTTAATCACATAATACAATAACCTATCGCATAGCAGGAAGTAAAAGAACTTTTATAATTTTATATAAAATCCGACTATTTGTTGACTTCAGGTGGCCTAGCCGAAGCACAAAAGGTGCACAGGAGTTTGAGTCGACTTATCTGCTAAATATCTGGTAAATATAGGCGTAAACCTATATACACCTCTATATTTACACGACTGACTCCACAGTACTGTATAAAAGTACCAAATGACAAGTAAAATGACAAAAAAAAAAAACAGTGAAATTTTACATCAGACTCCCCAAACAGCAAGAGGACAAAAGGTTGAAAAATCATTCAAAATTTATAACATTTGTTTTAAATAATCAGATGTCCAACAGACCTGAATCAACAGGAGAGGTGAAAAACGGTACCATACCGACCATTACACCATTGGCAGTCGAATTGGTTAATAAGAAAAAGTGTTTCATTGGTGGGCATGACTCATTATTGACCATTACACTGCCACATGTGGAGTGAGGGATAAAGGGCTGGATCTGACAAGCCACTCCTCGTGGTTAGTAGCGGGTCAGATTTGGAAATTGCTATGGGTTTCCAAACATTTTCTTATAGCTGGCCATATCTAGGACCAATTCCGGATTAGCATTCTTCAATCTAAGGAAGTAGTTCACAACCCAGACCTCAAAGCATACCAACATCTCAGGAATTATGCATTTAAAATTTTCTTCTAAAGGAGATACTAGAAAAATCCTGGCGCATGCCTTGAGGACTGGATTTGGAACCATTCATTTAGAATTTAGTTGGGATAATACATAGATGGCTTTGCAAAATTCAGTGGATAATACACATTCACTCATGTGAGAATCGAGTGAAATACAAAGTGAACAACAAATTTAAAGCGGCACTGTCATGGGCGAATCCATTTTTTTTTTTTTTTTTTAACCCCCCCTCCCGCCTCCACTACATCTAACTGACCCGCTAGTCACCCCCAAATACCCTTAAGCCCCCACCATATTACCTATTTTTTATTCTTTATTTTCTGCCCCGATCTATATTCTGGGTGCCGCCATCTTTGTGTGGGTAGAGGAAGTCCCTGTGGGACATGTCATCTGCCCACACTATAGCACTGAGATTCCCGCACATGCCCAGTGAAACACATGCGAACGGGAATTTAATCTATTCATTCATTCGTCAGAAAGACGAATGAGTGAATGGATATTTCAGACGAACAAACAAACACTGAGTATCAGTGTTCGTTTAGTTTATTACAAGGAGGGAGCTACCGGCGCGCAGCTCCCTCCTTGTAATATGTAAAGATAGAAGCGGCAGGAAGCAGTGCTCCCCACCACTTCCTAAGCCCCCCCATGTGCTCCCTCACTCTATAGGGGTCAATATGACCCCCATAATAGCATAAGGGAGATTAAAATCTCCCCAACGCCCCTACTCGCTATACCGTGAGTAGGGGCATGTCTACTAAACAAACAAAAAAACAAAAAACAAACTACTATCCGGCCCCCACCCCTGGGCGGCGGGTGGGGGCCCTAAATTACAATGGGGGGGGAGTGGGACAACCTACTGTCCTCCCCCCCCCCGGCCTCCGCCCTTGAGCGTTGGATGGGGACCATAAAGATAATGGGGGGGGGGGGTGGTGTTTCTCCTGTCCTCCCCCCCACCCCTGCACGGCGGGTGGGGGCCAGGGACCTACTCAAGCCACCCAGAGTGCTCTGTGTCATTTTACACAATGTGGGAAAGTTCTAGGGAATTTTCCCATGCTGTGTAAAATGACAAAAAAACAGCCAATCAGAGTGTTCTTAGCCTAATTGCAGGGTGAGGCAAGGCTTTATAAGCCTTCCCCGCCTGCGCGGAGCCCTCCATGGGTGAAGATGGATTATTTTTTTTCCGCTCAGGTTTTTTCTTTTTCGTCAGGTTTTTTTATTTTATTTTAAGTTCGACGGGTATGATGGGTTTTTATTTTTCCTTTTTTGGGGCTGAAAAATGAAGATTTTAGAAAAAAGAAGACGTCAAATGGTAAGTTACATTTTTCTTTACAGGTTAGTTATTTTATTCCCTCCTCACTATTTTTTAGGGTGAGGGGAGTAGGTAGGGGGTAACTTTTTTTGGGGTGGGTGACTAGGGGCTTGGGAACCCCTAGTCACCTTTGATGGGTGGGGCGGGAGGGAGATTTGTCTTAGGGCCCCCACCCGCCGCCCAGTGGTGGGGGCCGGAGGGGGGGGAGAACAGTAGGTCCTCCCCCTCATTATATTTATGGCTGCTCAAGGGTGGGGGCCGGGGGGGAAGAGGAGGGAGGGGTGAGGACAGCAGGTCCCCCTCATTGTAATTTATGGCCCCCACCCACCGCGCAGGGGTGGAGGCCGGGGTGGGGGGAGGACAGTAGGTAACCCCCCATTGTAATTTATGGCCCCCACCCACCGCGCAGGTGTGGGGGCCGGGGTAGGAGGAGGACAGTAGGTCTTTCAGCCTTTTAGAAGATAACTCCCTGATACCGTGGGAATTAGGGAGTTCTCTACTAAGCGGCTGCAAGATTCAGCCACGGCACAAATTGAATCGGAGTTTCATTCATTCGAATGAAATTCCGATATGAACAAAGTGCCGAATTGAGTTCTAAAACAAACAAACATACTGTTCTCATTCAGTTAGAACGCAATTCGGCAGTTTCGTCTAAAATGACAGGAAGCATCGCGAGATCACAGAGGAAAGGTAAGAATTATGGGAAAATTGCTCTGACCAGCGGAAATGAAGCACACTTGGCTCGTCTGCTGGTCAAGCGGAGGAAACCTCCATAAGGCAAAGAGTCCCTATTTTGTCTTATGATTTTAAAGAAAACAGGAAGAAAAGAAGAACAGATCATGAGAGAGGGGGAGAAGAGGAAGAGATTGAGGAAAGGTAGGTTTGGCATGACCGTGCCGCTTTAAGGGTCAAAATAGTTTCGAAAATATTCTGTTATGCTTCCAGTTTGGCTAAATTGTTCTAAAATTGGAAATTGACATGAATTCCAAACAATCACTTTAGTAAATAACTGACAGTGAATATTCTAAATGTTTCCTCTAAATTGGCACAAATTGCTCAGAACTGATCATTTCACTATTTTGACACAATAAATACTAACATTTACTTAGGTGAGAATTCAAAGTGAACTTCAAAATGTAATGCCAAAGTTGCCAAACAGAAATCATAACTAATTAAGGGAGGTTTTCCAGTTCGGCTATTTTAATCTTAAATTTGAAATTCACTTTGAATTCTCACTTTTGTGAAAAACAACTACAGATATGTGTGAACTTACCACCCCAAGGGTAAAATAGTTGTAGAAATAGTCATTGCATTTTGCAGGGACCTGTTTGTGGGGGGACGGGGAATGAATCTTCATCTGGAATTAAAACAAACAGCATTCAAAACCTGATATTCACCAGTAAGGGCAAAGCACACAGTAAACATCATGTTACAGACTGCAGGTTAATAATGAAGTAGTGGTACAGTGTGTTGGAGTCAAAGTCTGGTTAACGTGTCCTAGATACCTGATCCTTGTGTTCATCACTTTTTGAGCCTGAGTAGTTCTACAATGAACAGGTAACCTTTTACATTGGTCACACCTACTTCTGGACCTAAACAGTAACTAACAGATCTGTGCACACATCCTGAGTTGTCACTTTGTTAGGGGTTTGGAGTGGAAGACACTCAATATGAAAAAATGACACCAATAACAAAGTGCAGAAAGGGAGACTCCAATGAAGTAATCAGGCAGAAGGTTAGGTCAGTCCAGGCAGCATAGTTTATTAGGCAAATAAGAGTTCAATTACCAGGGATTCAGAATAAGGCAATGGTTCAACAAGTACAACTGAACTGGAGAACTGTAGGCACACACACGAGCACTGAGGTGAGCTGCATAATTAGCGTGACTCCCCTGAGCCAGTCCACCCCTTTCGCCATAAAGCGCAGCACGGGCACTGCCTAAGGAGTCTAGAGAGGCACCCCTCCACTGGCGTGAACAAGTCCTGAATCGTGAAGCACTGGCTACGGAGAGGGAGTTGAATAGACCGAAGAGTCTGCCGAACGATCATGTCAGCCTCAGAGCGGGGGGTCGTGGCAAGAGGAAGCCTGCCACACAGGAGTGACAGGCAGAAAGGCCCTGACGCTTTTTTTTTTTTTTAATTCAGCAAAGAATGTCCAAAAAATTGTCAAGAATTTCACATATATATATATATTTTTTTTTCATTCCGCAGTCTCATTTGGGTAAAGACGTTCCAGGTTAAATTAAAGGACCACTCTAGGCACCCAGAGCACTTCAGCTTAATGAAGTGGTCTGGGTGCCAGGTCCAGCTAGGATTAACCTTTTTTTTTTATATAAACATAGCAGTTTCAGAGAAACTGCTATGTTTATACTGAGTGTTAATCCAGCCTCTAGAGCCTCTAGTGGCTGTCTCATTGACAGCCGCTAGAGGCGTTTGCGTGCTTTTCACTGTGAAAATCACGGTGAGAGCACGCAAGCGTCCATAGGAAAGCATTGTAAATGCTTTCCTATGCGACCGGCTGAATGCGCGCGCGGCTCCTGCCGCGCATGCGCATTCAGCCGATGACGTCGCGAGCATTTTGCCATTATGGATTCATATAGGTTATGTATTACATATTTATAAAGGTTTACAAATCCTACATATGTCCATTTCCTCACCTTGTCGTCAGATTTGTAGAAGATTTTATGTGGAGCCCCCAGGGTACTCAGCACATCCTGACAAGAATCACCGAAATGTACACAGCGTTCCATTACCCGCATCTTGGCATCTGCCATTACTCCCGGTCCACAGCCTAGAGATGCAAAGGACAACAGAAAGAGGCATTCCTTAATAATTATTAATAGGCATTGGGATATGAATCATTCATTATCTGCCACACAGTACAGCTAAAGAATGTTAAGTATACATTCTAGCAAGTACCAGCTTGACCTGTAAGTACACATTCTACAATATAATTGCTTCACCCATTCCATTTCTATCCAGGCTGTTGTGTAGGAGAAAGAAGATACTGCTAAAGAGAATATTGCACACTACTACTAACAAGGAATCAAATATACATAACATTTGAGTGGTTTTTAGTTATACATTTCTAAACGTACATTGTATTGTCAAGCGACTTGGCTTAGTTTTCATGTCAGAGAGAGACAATTTAAGCAAGGGTTACTATATGGCAGATTATCATGGGAAATGTAGTTAACATTCATCTGTGAAGCCAAGGTGAGCCACAACTGTTATATGACATCCCTCAAAAGTTATACTTCTAGAGGCAGGTTCACAGGATAAAAACCAACAACAAAAAACCCACAAAAAAACCCAAAGAAAACCACATACACAAACATATATAAAGAACATATTTAGAAACAGACGATATAAGCCCTGTGAGTACCTGTACTGAGCAGACGAAGCCTCAGTCCTAGAGGCCCCAATGAATCTCTCAGAACATCCACACTCTCTGCAAACACGTTACCCAGGTAACAACCTAGAGGCATGCTGGGAGCCCTGTCATGAGGCACATAATAAGAAATTAAAATTAACAGAGGAAAGTCATTTGGATTGTAATTTGTCTTTGGGTGATTTTGTTACTCACTTGGTGTCCTGGAGGCTGTTCCCACTGTATATATACATGCGTTTCACAGTTGCTCCATGGGGGATCTGGAGGGATGCCAAACCATGTGCAAAGTTGGGCTTTAAAAAGAAGAATTAAGAGTCAGAAAACAGCAATATCAGATCGTAATTGAAATAAAACAAAATACACATCTACTCAGAGCCCAACAGGAACAACCATCCACATAGAATTTGGTTGATCAGCAGCACAGCATAGATGGTAGTTTACTCAATGAACCCATAAAGTTAATATTTTGGGGAGAGGGAGGTGTTACGGAACTACAGGGCATAGACTGCTACAGGAATAGATCATTCAGGGTTTACTAGTCTTAAAGGGACTCTAATGACCCAGTCGTTTTAATACTGGACCTGTAAACATTGTCGTTTTGCAGGAACAACAAGGTTTTCGTTGCAGTATTAACATGCCTCTGGTGGATGTCAGGATGACAGACACTAGAGAGGCTTCCGCAGCTATAACTAAGTTAACCTCTTTTATAGCTCAAATTACTCTCCTTAAGGGCATCAGACTGGCGCAGTGCGGCGTTTTGCATCACGTGTGCACTAGCCTCACAATGCTTCCATATGAGGAAGGGTTGGTTTGACTGAGATCATTAATATTGATGCGTAGTGTTAGCGGAGAAAGCAGAGTGCCGCGGGATGTAAGTAAAACTTACCTTTAAAACACCTGCAAGGGAGGTAGGCACCTAGATAGGTAGGAGAAGACTATAGCATTAGGAATACATATTTGTATTACCAACGCTATAGTGTTCCTTTGATGCTTCCAAGAAGCCATTATTATTTTTGTAAGCTTGGAAGAACTTAGAATTGAGCTGAGCTCAGCAGTACCCCAAGGAAATAAATGTTATTTGTAAATATGCATGATGCTAATTATTGGGTCTTCATAAATATCTCAGGTCAACATAGGCTTCAGTGAGAAAACCTCATGTTGTGCCAGTATGCTCAGCTCTCATCATTACAAAGAATCAGGATTCCACTGACCTATAAACAAGTTTTCGGAGTTCCTCACATGTTCTGGAAGTAGAACATGTTCAGTCATTCAAACACAAACTCCATATTCTTACAGAATTTTTGCTGATCTCTGCTTCGTTCTAGTTCTACCACAGCAAGAGTGCAGTCTGATAATTGCCCAAGTTCTAAAATTGCTTAAACTGATGCCTTTACATATGCACCCATGCCAGTAAATTATTCCAACAAATACGGTTCTAGAGTGCCCCACAAAAACGACACATTTAAGCTTGAAAAACATTCTCCATGAAGATGTGTGGAACTAACCTCATACTTCGGAGCTTCAGTCCAGGAATCCAGTTGAAAGGAGAAAGACAGACCACGGAAGTTGAGGTGGAACAGTTGTTCTGCGGAGTTGTACACTGAAGAGAAGATATACAATTATCTCACTACTTATACAATTATCATTATTATAATGATCCCTGGGAACATGAAGCTAAATCCAGTGATTACGAACCTCCAGGATGTGTTGCTCCAAACGACTGATCGATTTGCTCTATAGTAGGTGCAATGGACTGTGAGTTGAAGTGAACTCCACTAAAAGAGCAAAGAAGATTGGTCAGTCAGTAGAAGAAGGGTAAACAATGGCTAAATTCTGAATTGGAAAATTGGAAAACACAGGGGAAGCTATTGTATGGAGACAAAATTTACTCAAACTATCTATTGCAGGAGAAACTCACAATGTAAAAATTGGCCAATGAAGAACACGCACATCATTCACAAGTGTCCCTATACACAAGGCAAGAAGTGGGTACTTTTTACATAAGAAGCAAAAATATAGAAACTCTTACCAATATTTTAATTTAACCTTTGTCAAATCATACACTTCTATCACCTATAGGGGAAAAACAAAAGATAAAAACAGAAAATAAAACAGATCAGTCATGTTCCACCAGCAATTTGTACTCATGTACTCATGTTAGCCAGGCCCAACCTTCTCAATGCCCCGGCTCCTCACCTTTAGTCTCTGGTTGTAAGCATCAAACAGCAGTTTGATTCCGTCCTGAGTCAGGCTAAGGATGAGGTCATGGCTCAGAGGAGACTGAAATAAAAGTGGGAATGTTTAGGGAAAATAGTCTCACTGTTTCTACAGAACACGAATCACCACCATATTCTTCAACATTCTTCCAAACCCTAACCACATTCTACCAAAGTGATGGAGGGTGTTTGAAGAGGCATAAAACAAATATTTCTGTAGTTCATGTATGTTCTTACAAACACATTTTACACATAATACTCGGTTGCAGTTTATCAAGTTGAAAGAGTTGGTGTTTTGATGTCCTATAGTCCATTTTATGCAGTGATTTAACAAACCTGAATTAGTTGGCTGCACAAAGAACTGGAAAACAATGTATATAAAACAGGGTATACATATTATAGATGTACACTCATGCGGATTACACCCTCCTAGACAGCACACCTGAGTCATTTCTGCACCCCTTCTTTAGGCAGATAACAAGCTGAAAGAGAGTAGAGATTTCCAAATTTGTTTCCCCTGTCCAAGGACCGCTCAGATCATGTTAACGTTAATCCGTAACTGGTCCTTAAAGACTCCAAGCCACATTGTGATTTTGTGACCAGTGATTTGTGCAGATTTTTACTATGAAACGCTACATATGTACGTGTAACTCCAACTCTTGCAGCATCAAAGGGTTTTTAGCTAGACCAGAGGAGAGTTCCTTACTGGCAAATGTAAATTCTGTGCATATTGAATGTCGGGTGTAAGCATGCACAGCATGCTGGTGACAGATGACCAATAGTAGCACTGCCCCCTTCCATGCCGCCTCAGTCCTCCCCTCAACCGGCGGAAGTTACAGGCTCAGACTGCCAGGAGAACTTCACCCATGATAAGTCATTGTTGTTTTTTTCTCCTTTCGGGAGGGACGTGGCATATAGGGTTACTCCCAAAACCAGTGTTATATTAATGAATAAATTATTAGATATTATATTACACAATGCCTAAATAATCAGAGTATTGCAGTGCAATACCTTGCATATGCAATGATACCTTTAATTTGACTAACCATATGTAGGTGTATTGCTTCAGGCCTGAGGAAGAGAGGGAAAAGGTTTCGAAATGTGTTTTAAATGTTAATTATATATCCATAAGAAACCTTGGAGTTTCAGAATTACATTTTATTTATATTTAAAAGGGACACTATGGTAACCACAAACACTTTAGCTTCATGAGTCAGTTTTGTTGTAGAGATCATGTCTGTGTCAGTCACAGCCAGAGGAGTTGTAGCTATGGCTGCATAAACAGAAGCAAAATAGATTTAACTCCTAAATGGTAGAGAATTGAGCAGTGAAACTTTAGAAGCATGATCTATACACCAAAACAGCTTCTTTAAGCTAAAGTTCTTCTGGTGACTAGAGTGTCCCTTTAATGCGGTGTTAGGTATAAATATAGGATTTTAAACAAAAGCTATTTCTGCTATTTAAAAAAAAAAAAAAAAAAAAAATTATAATATGTACAGGTGTATTCAAAGAGAAACCCTTAAATTGTAGTATAGCAAACACATAGCACAAGTTCTAGGTGTTGTTTTGATTTAGAATTTGGGCAATTGCATCGGCCCTTCAAGGTGTTAAATGTGCATCTAAAAGGTTGGGGATGGGACTATGAGGACACCTTGCAAAAAAATAATTCCATAACACAGTACAGAAAAATCTAACGCGATTCAACACTACACGACAAAAAAACAAACAAAAATAAAAACAGACCACACTTACACGGAGCTCGTTGGTGAATGCAAAGCAAATACCACGCTAAGAATGAACTAAACACAAGATGATTATTCACTTAGATTCATTTTATTATGGCTTGCAGCAGGTTTATGCCAAGTATAAAAACAAACTCAGTAAGTGGTCCAAATAAGTGCCAATTTGCACGTTTGGTGTCGCAGGATGAGGACATAGAGCCCACTTCCACTAAGTAAGCTAGAAACATGTCAAACCTCTCAGTATTGCAGAATGCAGAGTTTTGAAAGGGTAATTACATTTCTAACAGAGCAGAATAAAATAGAAAACTTTGCGCCCCAGGCATTTCAAATGCTAAGTGAAGCAGGACTTGTCTCTGTATTGACCCTGTTTAAGACTGGTTGAACTGTCCAGAAATCATAGTAAAAGCAAAGCAGATTTAACATTTTTTGGGAAGAATTGGAAACTGGAATACCGGGTAATTATTTTTGTCAGCTACATTTCTATTTCCGCCTAATATCTAGAATTCACATTAAACCCACATTTTAGAGATTTGCCCTGTGCATGTATAGTAGATGACATATAAGACTCCTGATCAAGATGCTAAAAGAAGAACAATGACAATTTATTTACATTTCCTTCAGATTTCGGGCCGATTCATACAATAACCAGGGCACCAAGCATTCCCAAAACAGCCAAAATGCTTTTCCATTACAGAATTTCACCAAAATGAGCTGGGAAAGGATAAAAAAAAAAAAAAAAGTACTTCCAACAAGGAAACCATTTGGGGGAGGGCAATGAAATCTGTCTATGAAGGCAAAATGGAAGATGCTTCGCAAATGAAAAAGGAAAAAGTAATTTGTAAGATCTATTAAAGGGTTTATAAATATTGCAGATGGCATGAAAGCTATGGAAATGAACGGATGTCACATTTGACAGAAATGCATGAATGATAGATTGCTTTCCAGTTCACAGACACCACAGTATGCAAAAGCAGAGAGCGAGGCTACTGATCCCAATCTTAGTGTGCGTTCCACCAAAGACAAATTAATTTCTGCCTCGACCGCCAGCCAGTCCCAGTGTCCAAAGAACCGTCCAGGATGGCTGGCTCCTGGTGTGTACCTTGCCCTCATCTACACCTCTGCAGACTCCCCCATTGCACATAAGCATAAGATTAAAAACAACATGGGACAAATGTTACCTAATACTTGTACCTTGGTGGTACAGGCAAAAAACTATTAAAAAATTACACATTATCTGACCTTTGACAACTGTTGGCAAAGGGAACAGTTTCTGTCAGCACATGGCCTTTTCTTTTATTCTGGGATTCATATCTCTTAGGCAGGAGATGAACATTTTGGCACCAAGATGATAGTGTGCAAAACTGTGACTGTGGTGGAACACAGCACAACCTGAGTATGTGTTCCCAGGATGCACGATAATAAGGTCTACCAATGCAATTTCTCGCACCTGGACAGACAAGGCAGCAGAGATCGTTAGAACACAGGCTAACAGCGTGTGTTCCACCTGGAGGCAAAGAGGCCCCCCCCAACTACTGCAGTATCATGTCCCACCAAGAGACAATAGTACTGATACTGGGGTTCTGGATGATTTTCAAGGCTTTTACAGTACCTTACCGAAATAAAGAAAAACTTTCACTAAGGCCAAGTTCTCCTCTTTATGTGCAGTATTACTTCATGCACTGCACATACAAACTCCAAGTACCATGACCACTTCAAATAATATACTAGTTATGGTAGTTGGAGTAACCCTTTACAACCATCTTTAGAGACACATCTTTGGTTCAAACATTTTACCCCTTAAAGGGTCCCCTTCAAACTCTAGGCTTTCCTAGATGTGATGTCTCTTAAAGCTCACCTGTTCGCTATAGAGGATCTGCACATTTCTGATGGTCCTGCAATGCTTCTGGAGAATTGACACAGCCTGAGCCAAGGGCATTCCTGTTACAAAAACAAACGGAATTATTATAAAGGCAAACATGCTTGTAATTCAAGCAACATTACAGTCCTGGTCTCCTAGCGGGCATAAAAGTAGTATGCAGAGAACACTACAGGCGCAGGCCCGCTAAATAGTCAGTAGAGAGAACTTCAGGCCCAGGTCCACCAACATACAGGGAGCACTAGCGGCCCTCCTCACATGACATACAGGGAGCACTAGCGGCCCTCCTCACATGACATACAGGGAGCACTAGTGGCCCTCCTCACATGACATTCAGGGAGCACTAGCGGCCCTCCTCACATGACATACAGGGAGCACTAGCGGCCCTCCTCACATGACATACAGGGAGCACTAGCGGCTCATCCCACTAACATACAGGGAGCACTACAGGCTCATCCCACTAACATACAGGGAGCACTACAGGCTCATCCCACTAACATACAGGGAGCACTACAGGCTCATCACACTAACATACAGGGAGCACTACAGGCTCACCCCACTAACATACAGGGAGCACTACAGGCTCACCCCACTAACATACAGGGAGCACTACAGGCTCACCCCACTAACATACAGGGAGCACTACAGGCCCTGCTCACATAACATACAGGAAGCACTACAGGCTCACCCCACTAACATACAGGGAGCACTACAGGCCCTGCTCACATAACATACAGGAAGCACTACAGGCTCACCCCACTAACATACAGGGAGCACTACAGGCTCACCCCACTAACATACAGGGAGCACTACAGGCTCACCCCACTAACATACAGGGAGCACTACAGGCTCACCCCACTAACATACAGGGAGCACTACAGGCTCCCACTATGAACATACAGGGAGCACTACAGGCTCCCACTATGAACATACAGGGAGCACTACAGGCTCCCACTATGAACATACAGGGAGCACTACAGGCTCCCACTATGAACATACAGGGAGCACTACAGGCTCCCACTATGAACATACAGGGAGCACTACAGGCTCACCCCATGAACATACAGGGAGCACTACAGGCTCACCCCATGAACATACAGGGAGCACTACAGGCTCACCCCATGAACATACAGGGAGCACTACAGGCTCACCCCATGAACATACAGGGAGCACTACAGGCTAACCCCATGAACATACAGGGAGCACTACAGGCTCACCCCATGAACATACAGGGAGCACTACAGGCTCACTCCATGAACATACAGGGAGCACTGCAGACTGAAATCATTACATGCTCGTTCCAATAACTAGCGTGCAGGGAGCATTGCAAAAGAGACATATCTATACCACTAGTCAATAAACATCAGTATCATGAGCAGTGTACATCACGGTACATGAAAGTATGGCATCAATTACTGCAATCTGACAAATCCACCACAGAGAGCGCCAAAGGTGACAGTTCCACACATCTAGGGACACACACACCCACAGTGAATAATTAACCAACCGTAAAGGGCAGCATGCCTTGCACCTTAAAACAATGACAAATCAGCAGGGCAGGTCACAATGTACACCTCCGATCAACAGACACACAGTAATAAATAATAGACAGAACCAACAAAGACTGCAAAGGACACACTGCCCCAACACGATATAGAACACAGAGAAACAAGTCGGCAGTGCTGTAAGATTGTATCCTATATCAAGTATAAACCTTGACACTCTGTTCCTGGAGGGCTGGCAAGCTATTTCTCCATTTAGGATAATACTGTCAGTTTAATTGATAGACCGGTCAATATTAATGCTGTTTATTTAACTTAGAGATGATTACAAAATGATTCAAAGTAGATCACTACTGTCGGCTCTGTATACACCACCCAAAGGACACAGGAAATAGGAGACAGGATTCCACAAAACAGGTGACAGAGACATTGAGCAATACTGAGTCACAAACAGCAGCCAGAAAGCTTTATTTACATCCACATCAAGGTACACCCAACATGCGACACATTGCAAGGTACACCCAACACATACACAACATGCGACACATTGCAAGGTACACCCAATACATACACAACATGCGACACATTGCAAGGTACACCCAACATGCGACACATTGCAAGGTACACAACATGCGACACATTGCAAGGTACACCCAACATGCGACACATTGCAAGGTACACCCAACATGCTACACATTGCAAGGTACACCCAACATGCTACACATTGCAAGGTACACCCAACATGCTACACATTGCAAGGTACACCCAACATGCTACACATTGCAAGGTACACCCAACATGCTACACATTGCAAGGTACACCCAACATGCTACACATTGCAAGGTACACCCACACATACACAACATGCTACACATTGCAAGGTACACCTAATACATACACAACATGTTACACGTTGCAAGGTGCACCCAGACATACACAACAAGTAAGACATTACAAAGTACACCCAACACAGACACAACATGCTATACGTACCAAGGTACACCCAACACAGACACAAGTTCAACATGCTACACATTACAAGGTACGCCCAACACGCTACACATTACAAGGTACACCCAACACATGGGTGGTTGATCAGTGTACACATTTTTATTTTCACTACTAAAAGGTTATCCCCTCTTTTTACTGAAAACATATTTGTCACTATGCATGTGACCTCTCTGTAAATGGCTGCCAATTTTAATGTGTTATCCTTTTAATAATTCTAATTTACTTTACAACTGGGGCATGCATTAAAGCATGGGTGTCCAGCCTTTTGGTTTCCCTGGGCCGCATTGAGCGCAGAGGAAATGTCTCAGGCCACACATCAAATATATAGTATAGGTCAAAGGTAGGCAACATTCAGGACTCCAGATGTTGGGAACTACAACTCCCTTAATACTTTGCCAGCATTATGGCTGTAAGAGCATTATGGGAGATGTAGTCCACAATATCTGGAGTGCCGATGGTTGCCTACACACATACAATCACAGACCCCCCACACATACATTTATAGACCTAAACACACAATCACAGATATACCCACACACCTATACACACAATCACATACATATACACCCACAATCAGATCCACATACGCAAATACAATCAATCACATATATACACACACACCACACACAATCATAGACACAAACACGTAATCACAGGGATACGGACAAAAGAACATACACATACACACACACACAAAATCACAGACCTAAACACACACATAGAATCAGACTAAATCAGGCTAGTACTAAAGAGCCACTAGTACTAAAGAGATCCACCCAGCCTCCCTACTTTGCTCTGAGAGGGCTGGAATGGATCCTCTATCCCTGGTGGTTAGTGGTTGCTGCTGGGCTGGAGCCTGGGATCTTTGTGCTCCTCCTGCACAGGTCCCTCGCACGCCCGGCAGTGATGCCGGGATGAGGGAGCTGTGCAGGAGGAGCACAGAATGTAAAGTGCTCCCTGCCACCCTCTCTGCCCGGCAACATGGACAGCAACCAGGCTGCACTGCAACCATGTGAAACATAGGCCGCGGGTTGGACACCCATGCATTAAAGAGGCAATATAGTCACCAGAACAACTACAACTTATTGTATTTGTTCTCGTGAGTAGAATCATTCTCTTCAGGCTTTTTGCAGTAAACTGTTTTTTTTCCCCCCAAAGAAAATGCAGTTTTTAAATTACAGCCTAGGGACAACTCCACTGCCCACTCCTCAGTTGGCTACTAGAGGTGCTTTCTGGGGCAGTGTTGCACACTGTGCAGTACTGCCATTTAGTGTCTCCACGCTATTGAACACTGAACATTCTTCATAGAGATGCATTGATTCAATGCATCTCTATGAGGAGATGCTGACTGGCCAGGGCTGTGTTTGCCTTGTGCTGGCTCTGCCCATGACCTTCCTCCTTGACAGTCTCAGACAATTCTATAGGAAAGCATTGTGATTGGTTCAGAGAATCACTTCTGATGATGTCAGCCAAGCAGGCAGATCAGGAGCAGAGTCAGTAGCAGCAGCCTTAAATAAAAGTAAGATTTTACTATATTTAGGGGAAAGGGGCTAGCCCCCTATATTTAGGGGGCTAGATTGTGGTTTTAACACTATAAGGTCAGGAATACATGTTTGTTTTCCTTTAGGTACAGATGGACTGTTAAAGCAGTCTATACCGAACAGAGGTTCTGTAAGAGTTAACTAGATGCAATAGGCAGTGAATGCTTTTACCTTGGAATGTACCTACTTATGTTCTATATTAAATAATAATAATAATAATAATAATAATAATACGCAAATTGGTTCTAAGTCACAATGCATGAGTAAATGGTCAGTCTAAGCACTGCAAGAATTTTGCATTAATGGAAAAATTTTTACAAATAAAATAGCTTCTGCAGTCAGACAGCTCCCCAGGGCGGTCACTTAGGTTTATGTTGTAAATCTGGCATGCACAATGGAGTAGGTCATCTCTCATCCGCAGATAGAAAGCAGGGCCAAGGCATGCAGCTTACAAGATTTAATTCACTTTCCAAAGACTTGTCTGAGACAGACAAGCAATTGACGCTTGGACTGCTGAACGAATTGATTGCATTCCCTGGCATACTGTTTCACCAGGAAATCATAGGCTAGGCCGACAAGTATTTGCAGGACTGAGTGACCCAACTGATTGAATCTAATTAATCATCAAAGTCTGGCTTAATGGGTTACTCCAACCACCATGACCACTTCAGTAATCTGAAGTGGTCATGGTGGTAGGAATCTGTATGTGCAGCATTTCTGCTGTAAACGCTACACACAGTGTTGCATTTACCGTGAGGCTAACAAGGCATTTGCCTTGGGCAGCATTTTCCAGGGGGCGGCTTTTTTTGTCCAGGAAAATGCCGTGTTAGCTTTGTTTTATGGGGGGCTGTTAGCGTCATTCAGCGGTCAGCGCGCGTCTGTCAGTGAGTGTCAAATCAGTGAGTGTGTGTGTATATATTAGTGTATCTGAGAGTGTGTGCTTGTCTGTGAGTGGATGTGTCAGTCAGTCAAAATGTGTATTATAGTCTTTAACAGTTAGAGGTGTGGCCTTGGCAGGAAGGGGTGGGGCAAATTTAAATTAGGGGGTTCCGTCATGCCTAGGGCAGCACAAATCCAAAAATACACCCCTGGCTACACACACACACACACACACACACACACACACAGAGTAATCTGCAGTTTTGTGCTGGAGCTAGTTGCACGCACAGCACACGTGACTTTGGCAACCCAGAACTTGCAACATGTCAATTATGTGCAAAAAATACAGCGGTTATCAGTGCGCATTGCACGCTGGCAATGGGCATATTGAGTTTCTCCCTTGAAGGCAGAGCCTATAAGTGGAAGCGATTTTCTCCCACCCCTCCATCACGGATTTAAGCCCTCCCTAAACTTTCAAGAATTATTTTTTTTTCCATCTATACAAAGTTGTTATGATGCCAGAAGGCCTCGGGTGCACTCTTACCTTAAAGGAATGCCGCCAGGCAGAGGGGTTGCTGCTTGGCTGAGAGCAGTTAGCCGTGGCTCTCTGCATACCCGCACCCCCACCCGGCATCAATCTGCACTTCATGAAACTGAAATTCAGAAACCGTATGTCGACCGGGGGATTAGCCTGTTTGAGAACACTTTAACCCACTTTAGGTAAGAATGCACCCGGGGACCTCCTGACATAACTTAATTTAGATGAAGTTGATTTGGTGCGTGGAGTGTTCCTTTAACATCTTTGGAAGTAAGCATTACTGCTCAAGGAAAACTCGCCTGAAGAAGCAGAACAGTAAAAGAGACAAATTTCAAACCATTCATCGACAAACGTAACACCATGGAAACAAGGACATGTAAGGTCACATATAGAAGCAGATCTAAAAAACCTCAAACCAGTCGGACCAGAAAACACTTATTTTCTATATTCCACATACACCAGGCTTCTCACCTAATGTAAATTCCCATTGCTGATTGCCGAGAGATCTTTCTGGTACAACCTCCAGATCCAGCATTGGCTCAAGGCAGGGAGGCTCCAGGGGTCAGCTGAGGTCCAGAATGTCACCACAATGGAACCTATGACAGACATAACATAGAACACAGAATGATTAGAGAGCCTGCATGGGACGAACACTTTATGATCAGAATAATTATATGTATCCTAAATACAGTTTGACGTTCCAACCTTCTGCATCAAGAGTCCTATTTTGTTGGGTCAAGAAGCAGAGTGGATTTGATTAAAATCAAGTCGATTTAATCCCTACTGAAATCACCAATAACAAAACAAGGAGTAGAGTCAGCGCTAATCGGGAAGGCAGCAGTCCCGGACAAGGACTCCCTCTAATGTCCTTTAGAAATCGATAGACAATAAGTAAGACTCTTTATTAATCAGAATTTTTAAAACAGTTCTATCAGAACTAATTTTGTTATATACCATTAGAAATGCAAAGCTAATAATGATCAAATTATTACAAGGTGAACTATGTCCAGTTTTATAGGTTAATCACTCATGTGATTTGCAGAATAACAATGGGATTAAGATCTTTTTTGAACTTTCTACATTTATTATATAAAACATTTTGCGGTTATCTCTGCAGACACAAGTTAGATTAATGGAATTAATTTACTAAAAATAGAAATATTGCATGAATACAAAGCCTCATGCTAAATAACTAATTTAGATTTCATGCTGAATAACCTTTGGACTATAATGTACCTATCTTAATAAGAATCGTAAGATTTTTACTCCAAAAATATTTTTCAAAAGAAAATCAGTTTATTAATAGATCAGATTTAAAGATGCTCTGTCACAGGGCAAAAAATTTTTTATATCTCCCTGCCCCGGTCAGCTCTTTGATTCCTTATTGTCCGTACCATGTATATTTATTTTTTTGCATTTTACCAGGTTTTACCTAGTTATTCAATATAGTTTGAGGTGCCAAATCTCGTTCAAATTGCCCTGTTAGGGGATCCGAGCAGTGAAGTATCCTGGCTGCCTTCATGTGCCTCTCTCAAAGTCTTACACATGCGTGCATAGTGTTTCTTAACTTACTTGCAACGTTCGGAGGACAGAGTCAGGATCGCGAGATTAGAGAGGATTAACGTCACGGGCAGTTGAGTACTGTGGAAAAATAGGACTTTAAAAATCAAGTGGAGCCTATATTAAAAGGGACACTGTAGGCACCCAGACTACTTCAGCTCATTGAGGTGGTCTGGGTGCTGTGTCCCTTTTGCACTTAGTGCTGCAATGTAAAACATTGCAGTTTCAGAGAACTGCAATGTTTACATTGCAGCTCTAAGTCTGCCCTAAGTCTACCAGACAGCCACTGGGGGTGCTTCTGGATCTGGAATCGAAACGGACCTTTGGTCCATTATCTGACGCTGGACATCCACACGCTTTGCATGAGAACTTCCAGCGTCAGATTTTCCCCATAGGGAGATCTAATGTGCGTGCGAGGGACATCGGCGCTGGATTCAGGTAAGTGGCTGAAGGGGTTTTAACACCCTCAGCCCCACGGAAGAGGGGGACCTATTAAACCTATAGTGCCAGGAAAACAAAGCTCCCTTTAAGCTCCACCTTTTGTCACGCATAGGAAAAATACATAAGACAATCAAATCCCTACATTATCTTATGTATTTTACAAGAATAAAAAAAAAAGAATGAAAAGAAGAACAGAAGAGGCAACAACTGGAGAAAGGTAGGTTTGGTCCAGTATGTGTGTATGGATGTAGGTATTAAGCAGTATGTGTGTATGGATGTAGGTATTAGGCAGTGTGTGTGTTAAAGGACCACTATAGGCACCCAGTCCACTTCAGCTCAATGAAGTGGTCTGGGTGCCAGGTCCATCTAGGGTTAACCCTGCCTGCTGTAAACATAGCAGTTTCAGAGAAACTGCTATGTTTACATATGGGTTAATCCAGCCTCTAGTGGCTGTCTCATTGACAGCCGCTAGAGGCGCTTCCGCGCTTCTCACTGCAATTTTCACAGTGAGAAGACGCCAGTGTCCAAAGGAAAGCACTGAGAATGCTTTCCTATGGACTGACTGAATGCGCGCGCAGCTCTTGCCGCGCATGCGCATTCAGCCGGTGACGTCAGAAGAGGGAGGAGAGTCCCCAGCGCTGAAGAAAGGTAAAATTTTAACCCCTTCCTACCTCTAGAGCTCGGCGGGAGTGGGATCCTCAGGGTTTGTTTTCCTGGCACTATAGTGGTCCTTTAACCATCATCCATTTGTATCCACCCTGTAAATCAGGCAGGTCAACAAATAAGGACTACTACCATTGTACTCCAGGACTTTCTTGAGGTCTGGCACATTGTGCGAGAAAAAGAAGAAATGCTATCCAGGTGGGTTAAGCTAATAAAATAAATGAATAAAATCAGTCAAAGCTACAGATAAAATCTAAAAAAGTGGTTAATTCACAAAACCTAGAGTTGGGATCAAAGGAAACATGTGCAAACCCCAGAACTAAAACCTTGGGCATTCAAACTCAACATCATTCCATGGAAAACAGATAACTCCAGCACAAAGTGCACTGTTAGCTCCCTCGGTAGAGGCAATTCTTTGCAGACTTGGGTACCATGATTTTCATCTCAAGTTGTGCTTCTGAGTCAGGTCTCCTTAACGGTCAACTGAATTAAGTATCAAGAGCTACAAATCGCCGATGCCCATTCCCAATCTCGGCTTGTCTGCCTTCTGTTTTTTCGTTTTTCGGCCCATATGAATGTGGACTGTCTGAGGATCCAGTTGGGGTTGATTAGTCTGGGGTAGGGGTTGGTAATAGTGTAAAAATAGCCCTTGAGTCACGGAGCACCACAGACATGCGACCGCTCAGTTCAGTAGCTCGACTCCGCCCATACTAACGTTATTTTATTATTGTGATTCTATTAATGAAAAATCAATAAGTGATCAAAAACATTTTTTTTAAAGCATTTCAGCAAGCTAAAGTGCTTTAAAGGTCTGGAGTGTTTCTTGTCACATGTAAAATAAGTTTGTATTAAAGGATCACTATAGGGTCAGGAACACAAACATGTATTCCTGACCCTATAGTGTTAAAAACACCATCTAGCCCCCCCATGCCTCCATAAATATAGTAAGAATCTTACTGTATTCAAGTCTGAAGCTGTAAATATGCATGCGGTTTCACTCAAAAAAACAAGCAGTCTGCTGACATCAGAAGTGGTAGCCTGATCCAATCACAATGCTTCTCCATAGGATTGGTTGAGACTGACAAGGAGGCTTAACAGGGGCAGAGCCAGCATGATTCAAACACAGCCCTGGCCAATCAGCATCTCCTCATAAAGATGAATTGAATCAATAAATCTCTATGAGGAAAGTTCAGTGTCTGCATGCAGAAGGAGGAGATACTGAATGTTTGGATGCATTTTAGGCAGTCACGACCCAGGAAAGATCTCTAACAGCCATCTGAGGAGTGGCCAGTGAAGTTATCACTAGGCTGTAATGTAAACACTGCATTTCCTCCGAAAAGACAGTGTTTCAGGCTTTTTGCTGTAAGGTAATGATTCTACTCACCACAACAAATTCCTCGTGCGTCTGTGGTTGGCAAGTGTAGTGCACATGTTGGGTTCTGTATCAACGTTTATATAACATATGTACATATGAAGAAACCTATTTACAACATATGGTCTGTTCTGTGTACCTTGTATGCCTACATGATGTTGCTCACTGACTGGGAGACCTGCACATGTCTGCTAATGAACTTCTTTCCAGACACTTATGTGTTCCCATGACATCTGGATCTTTATTTCCCGGTACTCATGGCCAAACCTCATGTCTATGTCCGTCTCCTCGCTCTTTCTAAGCATGGTTTAGGCGGGGCCGTGGGTTTTAACCCCCACGGTGTCTGGGGTGCCGTCTCTATATGTTTTCCACATGTTATACATCCGTACGTTTGTATACCCTGTACGTAAGTGAGTTACTGCGAATTTTTCATAGTCCACATTGGTGGAGATTAGGTTTGTCAACTCCTCTACTGACGGGATTGTTCCTGACATCCAGTTTCTAGCAATCAGTGTCGCCGCTGCTATTATTATGAGAAACGTGTTTGCGGATAGGCTTCGGTAGGTATGCTTCTAAGCTTTGTGGCGCTCATCTTCCTGTACTGTTAGTGATGTCATCTACCCTCACCCAGAATGACCGTATCAGTGGGCACATCCACCATATATGGAGTGTGTCCCCATGTGTCCTCCGACAGCTCCAGCATTTGTTATCTGTTGCTTTGTACATTGGAAATGGTGAATGGGATGGATTGGAACCCTGATGTTGATAATGAGGCATTCGGAAGGCTGTACAGGGCCTCTACAGCAGTCTGATACTCATGTGGGAAGTCAAATTTCGCGAGGACAGCATCTAGGAAAAGCCAATTCAGTCTGTAAAATGCTTTCTCCGCGTCAAAGGAGATTATAAGTCCCTGTGTCTGGTCCATGTGTATTGTTTGTAAAAGGTCTACTACATTCCGTGTGTTGCCCAACCCCTGTCTCCCATGTACAAAGCCCACCTGGTCACCTGAAATGATGGTTAGGAGGATGGTCTTAAGACGGGTGGCTAGGATTTTAGCATACAGTTTGGTGTCTGAGTTCAGTAGTGATATTGGGCGAAAGTTCTGGCATTGCGTTGGTGGTTTGCCGGGTTTTGGGAGGGTTATCACCCTAGCTGCCAGGAAGGTCAGGGTAGGCAGGGGGATCTCCATTAGATAGGTCTTTATGCCGGCAGCTGAGGGTTTTGGGGAATTTGGGTCATCTTTAAGGTTATAGAATTGACCGTAGTATTGTGCGAACTCCTTGCAAATCTCTGCGGGTAGGGATATTTTTTGTCCTTCTTTATTTACTATGTGAGCTTTGCGTGTTTGTTGTCGTCTGTCCAATAGTCTTTGGGCTAGAAGCTTGCTAGCCTTGTTACCCTGTACATATGAGTGTGTTTTCAGTCTTTTTAGCATGAGTCCAAACTTATGTAGTCGCATCTCGTTTAGTTTATTTTGTAGGACCGTTATTTGCTTTTTACATTCTGTTGAGGGTTGTTTGGTTATCTCTGCGCAGTGTCTCTAGCTGCTGTCTGCATTGTGTCAGTTCCTTTTCCGATTGCTTCTTGATCTATGAAGCTCTACTTATCAGTGTGCCTCTCACCACCGCCTTGTGTGCCAGCCAAAGCATGTGGGGGTTTTGGACTGATGTGATGTTTGAATTAAAGTAATGTTTTAGCTCCTTCTCTAGGTGTGCGCAAAATTGCATGTCTTTTAGTAGGCTCTCATTGAGGCGCCACGGGTTTCTGTGTTTGTATTCATATGTGTTTGTGATAGTCAGTGTTACTGGTGCATGGTCCGACCAGTTTATTGTTGTGATATTGCAGTCTAGTATTCTGGTCATGGTGGATTCGTGCATGAGACACCCGTCAATTCTAGAGTACGTGTTGTGGACTTTCGAGTGGTGTGTGTATGCTCTTTCCCCTGGGTGGAGGGCTCTCCACACGTCTCGGAGACCGAACGATGACACTAGTGTCCTAAGGGCTTTGCTTTGTTTTTTTAGAGAGCTATAATGTGGAGAGGCGGAAAGGTCTAGTGGAGTCCAATATTGGGTCAAATATGTGGTTAAAGTCTCCACACACCAGGAGGGTGCCTCTCCTCAGCTTTACCGTTTTGGTGAGAACCCCGTGGAAGAAGTTCCTCTGGTTGGTGTTTGGGGAATATACATTTACCAGCGTGTAATCTGAATCGTTTATGGTGCATTGCCAAATGATGTATCGTCCCCCGGGGTCTAGTATGTGGCCATGCGTGGTCACCGTGAGGTCCTTGCTGAGGAGTATGGAGACCCCTTTAGATTTCTGTGCTGTAGGGGCGTGTAGTTGGTGGGGGTATAAGCGTGAGCTCAGTTGTGGATGTGCGTCTGTCCTGAAATGGGTTTCCTGCAAGTATACTATATCTGCCTGCATCTTTTTGAGTTCTCTGTCTAGGGCATGTCGTTTGTAGGGAATGTTTAGGCCCTGTGTGTTATGTGAATATATTTTCATACTGAATGTGGGTGGTGGGGAAGCGCGTTGTTCTGACCCTGTGTCTCATGGATGTCTTGTGAGAAGCTTGTTTGGTGTATGCCCAGCAACTGGCTAGAAAGAGTGCCTCCATGAAAGTTAGTCCTCTGAGACGTAGTTGGCTCTTATGTGACCATATTCTGATTGTGTGATTCATATTGCCTGTGTGAGTCCCACTCTGGGTGCGTTCCTCCATCTCTGCCCTTCAGTAAACAAGTATAGGCTGTTACATTTGTGTCCACAGTTGTGACCATAGGAAAAAAAAAAAAAACATTTAACATATATACACAAACAGAAATTTAAACTCAACTTGTACATTTGTACCCTAGGGGTAACTATTAGTGAAATTTATCCTGCTAGTTTCTCCCACTAGCTATAACCTGCGAGGGGGTGTTAGGGTCCAGGTCCAGCTTGCAGGCCGCTCAGGTACCTGTAACCCCCATGCCTCTGGCTCTGAATTTTGTCTCCATTGAGGAAAGGAGATGTGTGACTGAGGAAACCACTACTGACTATGGGCAGTGGGCGTTTAAACTCGGTTTCCCACGGTTTGGCGTGTTACTAGTGGCCCTGTATATTTATTGTCTCCTGCGGCTATATCGCAAGCACGTCGGGTTTAAGCGAATCCGGTAGGGGAGAGAGAGATAAGGAGTGTTGTGTATTCTGACGGTTGGGTAGGTTCTGGGTTTAATTTCGGCTTGGGCCTTATGTTGGCGCGAGAGGGGTCCCTCCTCGCCGTCTCTTTTGTTAACGCACCTTAGTCGGAGTGCCCTCCCCAGTTTCCCATGCTTCTGTCATTTGTCTTCTCTTGCCTGCTCCCCTTATATATTGTAGGTCAACATAACACAATGTAGTATTCTTGCACATTACCCATTCCCGACCGGAGTCCGTAGTGCACAGAATCGCACATTTCAATCGGACCTTTGTAGCTTTAATGTCCATATTGTTCCTCAACAGGGCTTGGACCCATATGTGTCGAGAGGGTGATACTTGTCGCCTTTATTTTACCGCCGCTGTCTTAGAGGATTTGGGGTGTCTGACAGTCTGCCATTCCGGCTGGATCTCTGCCTGCCGTTTGGGCCTTTCTTCCGAGGTCGCTGTGACAATGCCCCAGCTGCGTAGCAGGTAGGTGCCCGCTTCCGCGGCCACATGTGTTTTACCGTCTTTTGAAATCAGCAACTTAATCGGAAAGCCCCAGCAGTATGGAATTTTTCTGTTTCGTAGCTCTGAGGTTATGTCTCGGAAATTTCTTCTGCGCCGAAGTGTCTCTGCGGAGAGGTCTGCATACACTTGGATGTGTCTGTATTGCTCCGGTAAATTATGTTGCGGCCATTTGGAGTGGAGGAGGGCCTCTTTAAGGTGATAGTAATGTAGCTTAGTTAGTAGATCTCTTGTAGTGGATGCAGGTAAGTGTTGAGGCTTCGCTACTCTGTGTGCTCTGTCCATTAGAAACATATTAGCTGGTATGTCTGGGGCCAGGGATTGAAACAGGCACGTGAGATATTCCATTAGGTCTGCAGCTTGAATATCCTCAGGGACCCCTCTTACCCGTAGGTTTTGGCGCCGGGATCTATCTTCTAGGTCCATATTTTTCAGTTCCTGTTTTCGAACTCATAGTTTTTAACAGTTAACAATTCTTAGATGCTGCTATCCAAAGATTGAGAAATAACAAACAAAAAACAATTACAAGAAATGACCATGGAATTCATTATTCTAGGTGACTGTGGTGGAAAATAATCCAGTTAGCCATTTCAGTCTCCTGAAACAACTAGTCTTACTTGCATGGAAACAATCCATTGTTATATGTTCTTTCCCCTTCACAATTGTGCTTTGAACTGCAACAAATTTTCTAAATTGGAGCTGGTGCAAGCCCGCCCCTTCAGAGTCTCATGTCAGAGTCAGCAGCTATACTTCCTCCTCTGCCTGTCCTAACATTTGTACTATGTGAACGTTATATAAATCCTAACCTACCGTGATAAGGGTAATTCTCTGGTTATTGTGCCCTTTTATACAGATATTTATAGCCAGATTAAAATCCAAATGGTTACCTTCCCCATAGGGTCCATCTGCTATGCCAGTACGGAGACCGTGACCTGACTGATTTTTCCTATACTTCTTTAACTTTTCCACACCATATTTCCAGACAATAACCTGTGGAAGGCAAGGTTCAAATCTGGATTGTATAGTGTCGGCAAATTTGCCTGAAAATGCATGAAAGTAATGCCCGAAAAAGTGACAAAGGACACCTTTTTTTTTAAAAAACAAACAGTATACCATTTTACAAAAACAGTGAATAGTTACAGTGAATTTACAACAGAACTGTAAAATTATAATCCCCCCTTAAAAAAAAATTAAAAAAAATAAATAATTAAAAAAAAAACTGTTGGTACGGGAGATTTTTTAAAACAATCTTTTACAACCTGTCATGGTTGTTTATAAAAGTGCGAATTTAAAAAAAAAAAATAAATAAATAAAAAAGCTGTAATGAAAATCTAAACAATTTACACTTTAGTGTTTAACTGACTAAATGTTTTCAATGTTTATTTGCTATTTTATCACTTTGGGTTTTTTTTTTTGTATCTAATGCTTTTTTATTTTTAATACCAGATATATGAGAGAATATCCCTTTAAGGCTGAAGATTGTTCCTGCCACTTGATTTTTGAGGTTCTATGGCTCTGGGTAGAAATTGTAAATCACGGTTTGGTAAGACGGAGTAAGATGCAAACAAACAAGTGGTTTCTGAGGTGTGTCTAAACTAGAGTTTCAAGAATTATGTTAAAATCAGAAGAAAACCACGTCTCTCTCTCTCTCTATTCCACAGCTCAGAAGATGGCTAAATGCCCTAAAGTCCACATCATTACATGACTCAGTCAAATATACAACTCCTCTTACAGGAAGGAACAAAGTTGCACAACTCTTATTTACACCAATATTTACAGATAATGCTAGTGCAGTACTATTGTACAATGACAAATCCTTTTGTATTTGTACAGACCCCCACACAGAAAGGAGGGCAGAACAGAACTAACCATAAAGCGACCCTAGAGTCCAGGGATTAGACAGGGACCCTGGAACCATAAACTATTTGGGCCCCATTAAAGGATCACTAAAGCATTAAAAATACAAATCTGTATATCCAACGCTATATTTCTGTTAAAAAATGTATTTATGCGTTTCCAACGACAAGGCTCCCTTAGCACTGCTGACATCTCCTCCCCGACAAGGGTCCAACCGAACGCTCCCCAGAGCAGTGTAAATGATGGCGGCAAATTTCAATTTAGTTTTAATCATAGTCTTATGACTAAAAAGCCTTTTTAGTTTTAGTTGTATTTTAGTTATCTGAACGGTTTTAGTCAACTTAATCTATTAGAGATTTTAGTATACATGGTTAAAATCTAATGATTTTAGGTAAAACCTCTGTCTATTTTGCCCCTTCCCCAGCCCTCTGTGTCTATTTGTGTCCTCCCAGCCCCTGTAGGTGTCTCTCTCTCTCAAGCTCTGGTCTGTCTCTTTTGCCCCTTCCACAGCAGTGTTAATTTTGGCGGCAAATTTTGTTTTAATTAAAGTCTTTTGACTAAAATCCCATTTTAGTTTTAGTCATATTTTAGTCATCTGAATTGTTTTAGTCAACTAAATCTCCAAAATTTTAGTAGACTAAAATGTGACAAATTCTTTGTCAACAAAATTAAAATTGCATCAAAGAGTTAAGAGTTTACTTGGTCTGCTGCAGAAGCGCCTCTAGTGGCTGTCAGTAAAATATCCACAAGAAGAGAAAAACCCTGCAATGTAAACATTGTAGTTTTTTTCAAAAACGGCAATGTTTTACATTGCAGGGTTAAGGGAGCAGGGACACTGCACCCAGACCACTTCCATGAGATGAAGTTGTCTGGGTGACTATTGTGTCCTTTTAACCTTCCCAATGTGAAGAATGAAGAGGGGTTGGGGGGTGCAAACTGGTATACCAGTGAATCTTAATCCTTCTCTGCTGGAGGGGGAGGCATGTGGGTGTTATAATTAATACAGTTCTCTGCTTCCCATACTAGAAAAACTGGCTCTTTTAACATGCATATAATTTGCCAAAATTTGATATTTTTAAAATGAATTTCCAATAGACTTCATACCCATCTAAAATCTTGCAAAAAAAATGCATTTATTTTTGGAAAGCATATGAACTTCGCTAACCAATTAATAATGGATTGTCACTTCCAAGGGAAAGACACCTTCTAATTGCTAACTGAAAGTTAGATATCCGCATAATTCCCACTTTTTATTATTATGATAAAGCGGTCAGTGTTTTTGCCCAAGCCATTATACAATTATGGGAGGCAATTCCCGACAAGTAGGCATACAAAAAGTTTGTCAATAATGCGCTGTCACAAACATTTTTGAGCAATTCATAAAGATAAAACTTTTAAGAAATTCTCATAAAGATTGTGTTGGAATTTCATCAAAATTCCAACGCAGCCAAAAGATAAAAGACAGAGTTTGGACGATTATGTCTCATGTAGTGTGGGTTCCACCAAAGTGGGATGCTGCAAGAAGGCCAATTGGATTTTAAAATTGGGTTCTTTGCAACTGGTGGAATTGGATTTTTCTGTATTACAATAATGTTTTATTTTTTTTCTCCTATGCAGCAGTCACATTATGTATCATGTATTATATTTACATTGTATTTTTGTGTATTTTATACCTCACTTACTACTGGTTGAGCGTGTCAGCTGACAACTCTCACCCAATGAATAAATGTTTAATCCTGGTATGTACTATCACCTTAGCATGTCAGTGCAGACCATAATGACAGCGGACATCCAACAGAGCCAAGTAAGTATCAAACCATTCATAAAAGGTTTGACAGTTTACAGGGGGACGGTGCCGGGGAACTTCTAGCACAATAACAACTGCAAAGAACTGTACTGGTTATGGTGCTTAGATTGACCCTTTAAGGTACAACAAGCTCATCTTGAGAGCAGTATGGATGGAGATGACGGGAGCTAGAATTAATATGGAGTATACAAGACTTATAAATAAATCCCTCTGGTGAAGTAGACTGTTGCTATTTTCTAGCTATTTTGTTAGCACAATCTACAAAGCATTACAAAATTATATACACACACAAAAAATATATTTTTTTAAATCTTTATTACATTCCCAGCATGCACTATGATAACAGGATGTTATTCAAAAGGCAATGTTAGTTTAAACTGTCATTAAAGGTAACAGCTGTTAATCAAGTTTTCCACAGAGACCGAGGCTATAGCATTACGTATACACATATTAGACATATTTGCAGTAGCTTTACAAACATTTATTATTGCTATGGAAAACACAAACTCAGCAACCAGAATAAAACGACCAAAGAAAATGCCTTCCCTAAAATGACAGACAAACAGATTGCAAAGATCGATAAAATACCCCCAGTGTACTAATGGTTATGTTTATATGCCACTGCACATGTAACTTTTTCTACAGCATAACATCCAGTGTATGGATTTACACATTTTAAGTGGCAATAATCAACCTGGAAATGTTTACCAATGTTTTCAGTTTGATTATTTTAGCCCCCCAAAAAACTGAATTCCTGGCAATTTACACATTTAGTAAATATCCCTGGGTATACAGAACCATGTACACAACACTACCATAGAGTGTGTAGGTATTTTTACAGCTTTACTTATTATTCTAATTTAACACCAGATTAAAGAATTACAATAACGAACATCAAAAAGCTATGACATCACTTAAATATACATCTTCACGGTGCGGATACATATCTATCTCAGTGTTCTAAATATATTGCATAAGTCTCTCCCAGATGTATATATTGATGAGAGCTATATGTCACTAGATTGCATAGAGGTTACAATTTAATATAATCTCCATGATATATCTCTGTAAATACAATCTGTCATTACTTTATTTATACTGGTGTATATGTGTATGTCAATATACCAGCTTAAACTATATATAAAAAAAAAAAGAAAATTGTGGAGGATACTAAGCAGATCATAACATAACTGTTCCAAACACTAATAAAATATAAAGTATAATCTATTAGTGTGCACACAAGCAATGGACAGGAAAGGTTCATTAAATATAGCTTATTCAATATTATATACCATGTATATGGACCTGCTGTGAAGATCTCAGTGGCATTATAATGAATTATCTCACCTAGCAGGGCATAGGTCCGGCCACTGTGTATTATGGACCATACAGATCGATCGCCTGCCTCTGTTTTTGTTTCTCTCCCGGTTGCTGCTGCAAAACTTCCGGTTCTGATCGGAACGGCCGTAAAGCGACACCAGCGTCCGCCCTCTGGCTAGAGGAGGGAGGGGGCGGGGCCGAGGAAGGGGGCGGGGCCTAGGGAGGGAAAAGGGCTGCGCACAGTGTGATGGTAAAAGGAATGAAACTGGGGCTATAAAAAAACAAGACTGGAGGGTGGTTTTGAATAGCTGCTGGACTCTGAGGAGAAAATATGCAGGAGAGAGTGATAAAATAAATAGGATTTTCAGATCTCAATGTTTTCCAGGAACATTATTCAATTCTGTCATGTGATGTTTAGGGGATTTATTTACTAAATTCCAGATTCTAGAACATTGACACTTTTAGGCAAAAAAAAAATATACCAGTGTTAAAAAAAATAAAAAAATAAAAATATATATATATATAAGAACTTTGCTATATTGTTTATTTTCTTTGTAAACAATATATCCAAAATGTAACAGTTTAGATTTTAATATAGTACAATTTAATGTTTCATGAATAACCCTGAAAGAGATAAATCGATTAAGGCGGAATCCTAGATAATTCGCCCTGATTTGTTAAAGGGACCTTTCAAGCACCATAACCACAATTTAGTGATAATGAGGGACAGTCCATTAAATGTGCTGCCCTGTCATACAGACTCAAGTCAAGTGACCATTGAGATGCACACAGTAATTCTGATCACCTGACAGAGCAGCTGTGTCACATGGTGTGAGGAGAACTGGGGTAAAGTGCAGTGTGGGTACATGTTTGGACAAGTTTGGCCTGGATATGCGATTACAGCACATACACTGATCAGCCACAATATTAAAGGACCACTCTAGGCACCCAGACCACTTCAGCTTAATGAAGTGGTCTGGGTGCCTGGTCCATCTAGGATTAACCCTTTCTGCTGTAAACATAGCAGTTTCAGAGAAACTGCTATGTTTACAAATGGGTTAATCCAGCCTCTAGTGGCTGTCTCATTGACAGCCGCTAGAGGAGTTTGAGCGATTCTATGACACTGAACGTCCATAGGAAAGCATTGAGTAATGCTTTCCTATGGGCGGTTTGAATGCCCGCGTGGCTCTTGCTGCGCATGCGCATTCGTAGCTGAGAGGCGGAGGGAGTCCGGCGCTGGAGAAAGGTAAGTGCTGAAGAAACACACACACACACTCATGAACAGACGCATACACACACATTTACTGACAGAGACACACTCAGCGACAGACATACATACACACTCACAAAACATACAATCTCACTGACAAACACACACTCAATAACAGACATCAAACAGACTCACTAACAGACACACACAAACACACACAGTAACACACTCACTGACACTCACACTAACACTTTTTTTTTTTATTATTTAATCCCCCAGCCTCCTTACCTTTTGGAGTGCTGAGGGGATTCCCTGGGGTCCAGTGGTGGTGCTGGGCTCCTGGTCACCAGGTGGGAAGGCAGGCAGTCTGGCGGGCGCGCAAGGGAGCACACTCCCCTGAGTGCTCCCTCTTCAGCTCCCTCGCGCGCCGCATACTGGAGCCGGAAGATGACGTCATCTTCCGGCTCCAGCATCAGTGCGGTGCGTGAGGGAGCTGAAGAGGGAGCACTCAGGGGGGCCCTGAGGTGGTCAACTCCTGGGCCCCCCAGAAGAAGAGGCTGGCCACAGTGGGTACATACCGGGTCGCAGGGGCGGCCCGGTCGCAGTCGTGACCCCTGCGACCCCGGTATGTACGCCACTGGGCAAGAGGGAGGGTGGCTTATATACACACACAGGGTGTGTCTGATTGGCTAACCTATTAGTGTAAACCACATCACGTGGGAGATGTTTCTTCCCTCCCTAATGTGCTGCCCTGTCATACAGACTCAAGTCAAGTGACCATTGAGATGCACACAGTAATTCTGATCACCTGACAGAGCAGCTGTGTCACATGGTGTGAGGAGAACTGGGGTAAAGTGCAGTGTGGGTACATGTTTGGACAAGTTTGGCCTGGATATGCGATTACAGCACATACACTGATCAGCCACAATATTAAAGAACCACTATAGGCACCCAGACCACTTCAGCTTAATGAAGTGGTCTGGGTGCCTGGTCCATCTAGGATTAACCCTTTCTGCTGTAAACATAGCAGTTTCAGAGAAACTGCTATGTTTACAAATGGGTTAATCCAGCCTCCGTGCGTCTCACTGTGATTTTCACAGTGAGAATACGCCAGCGTCCATAGGAAAGCATTGAGAATGCTTTCCTATGGACTGGCTGAATGCGCACGCGGCTCTTGCCATGCATGCGCATTCAGCCGATGACATCAGAAGAGGGAGGAGAGTCCCAGAGCCGAGTGAGCCTGGCGCTGGAAAAAAGGGAAGGGATTAACCCCTTCCTCCCCCTTCAGCGCCACGCGAGTGGAAGCCTGAGGGTGGGGGTACCCTCAGGGCACTATAGTGCCAGGAAAATGAGTTTGTTTTCCTGGCACTATAGTGGTGCTTTAAAACCACTGATAGTTGAAGGGAAAAACTTTGATTATATAGTTGCAATGGCACCTGTTAAGGGGTGGGATATATTAGGCAGCACATGAACAGTCAGATTTTGAATTTCATGAGTAAGAATTAGGAAAAATGAGCAAGCGGAAAGATCTGAGAGACTTTGACAAGGGCCAAATAGTAATTGCTGGACGACTGGGTCGCAGCATCTCCGAAATGGCAAGGATTGTGGGGTAATCCCAGTGGTGTACCTAGGGTATTGCAGGCATGACAAATGCCCTAGGCGCCACTTGAAAGGGCTGGATGGTGCTCTGGCTCTGATCTGGTCCCCCTTGAGCTGGCAGGGAGGCCAAAACTCGCTGCGCAGCCCTTTAAAGTTGACTCACTGGTGATCTGTGGTGCAGCCACACTCTGGAGCTCTGTGAGATAGTCGGAGTGCAGACACCTTCTTTTCCAGCTTGCGCTCTGACATCATCACAAAGTGCCCGACCGGAAGACCTGCGGCTGCTCTAGGTGTCAACCAGACCACCAGTAAATATTTATGTGCCCCCCTTCCTGCCCAGGAGTTAAGCAAGAGGGGGCAAATGTTATATTAAAATATAGGCAATTACTGTGTTTTATACAAAGCCCCCATAGATGGTAACCCACTCAGTCACCCTGCCACAGTCACTGATCCCCCAACCTTGTCACATTCACCACCCCTCATCCTGTCACAATCACTACTATTACTCTCACCCCCAACCATGTCACATTCACCCCCCCTCACCCTGCCACACTAATCCATGCTCACCTACTCACCCCCTAACCCTGCCACACTCCCCCCCTGTCAGGATTACTGTTTGATCCAGCACGTAGAACTGTACAGCACGGATGACAAATAAGTAACGTATTACCGGTCCTTAGAATGGCCGGATTTAACGTACAAAGAATAGTCAAAAATACTAGCGAGGTCAGGGAACACAGAAAGGGACACAGCGATGAGGAAAGCCAGGAGTCAGGATACCAGAATATAGAGAAGTCAATAAACAAAGCCAAAGTCAAAAACCAGGTAGAAAACTATAAACAGGAACGCGCTCTCAGACAACCACAAGGGAAACCACGACAGGGCACTGAGCAGGCTGAGAACTGGGCCTAAATACCCCTCCTTTAGTTCTGATAGGCTGTAACTGGCCTTTGACCTCAAAGTCAGTTACCAGGTTTCATTTGCTGCTCAGCATTAACCCTTCTGTGGATTAGGTTGCTGCTCGGCACAACTTTTCCTGTGTGGACAGTAAATGTCATTAACCACATTTCTATAAGCGGATGAATATGTGACACCCCCCCACCCCCCATAAGCCTGTCACACTCATCTCCATATTGAAAGAGAGACACATTCACACACAATGATGCTCAGGCACAAACACAGGTACACAATGCCAGACACACACACTCTCTTTCTCAGGCACATACACATAATCCTAGACACACAGACACACTCTGCCCCCCACATATAGCTCTAAGCCTCCTCCACACACACAGCACTCAAAGACACAGAGCCTAGGACTCTAGGATGTGTCCTTAATCTGTAACCCTGCCTCGGGCCTTAGGCAAAGTTAATCCGGCTCTAGTGCCACTAAGCAGTGGCCAGATAGGCAGTTAGGTTTATTCTTTTAGCCCTGCTACAGATCAGTGAAAGGGCTGTGTTGGCTGTGCTGGTGGTCAGAGCTGGCAGCATGAGGTTTGCACCTCTGGCAGGTGAGATCTCAGTAATGGTTTCCTTGCAATTCTGTGCTCTCTAGTAAGTCAGAGTGCCGCCGACTTAAATTCCCGGCTTGCACTGACTTGCTGACTGCTGAACTGTGAGGGAGCGATTACTAAGGTCTGCAACCTCACTAACCCCCGCTGGACCACCAGGGACTTAGGACCCGGAAAGATCACCAGGCAGAGCTAACTTCTGTTGGACCACCAGTTATCATAGCCTCCCTTTCTTGAAGAAAGCCAAGCAGGAGTGGGCTACACAAACTATGAACACACACCATACATACATCACATACAGCCAGTACACACCACACATATTACATGCAACTTGACTTTTTCTTGCTGAAAAACTTACTGCTGGCCATGATAGAAAGTGTCAGAGCACACAGTGCATTGCAGTTTTCTGCATATGAGACTACGTAGCCACACACCGATCAGAGTGCCCATGTTGACTGCTGTCCACAGCCGAAAGTACCTTTGATGGGGACATGAGTGTCAGAATTGGACCATGGGGCAATGGAAAATGGTTGCCTGGTTTGATGAATAAGGTTTTCTCTTATATCAGGTGGGTGACCAGATGTGTGTGCATCATTTACCCGGGGAAGCAATGGAAGCATGATGCATTATGGGAATAAGGCAGGCCAGCGGAGGTAGTGTTACGATCTGGGCAATGTTCTTCAGAGAAACGATGTGTCCTGGTGTCAGAATCCTATCCTGACAAACAAGACATTTTGTTCCGTTTATGCTGTTCCTTTAAAACTAAGTTCCTGATTATGTTTGACCACTAGTGGCCTTATTCTGAAAACTTACCTTATTATTCTCACCTGCCTGGACTAATTGAGCAACCTACAAAAAGCTACACCCAA